CTGTGCGAAGAGGCCTCGGTTGCCTCGGGAAATTCATCCTTCTCCGTTGCCAACTCCAGGCCACTTCACCAGGCCTGTCCTGAGAGAGGCGAGACGGCAGGACACACCTCCTCGTGACGGTGGCTTCAGCCGTTTCCGCTGCTTAGCCACCAGCGGCATTCCCCCTCCCCCACCCCCAACTTTCAGCTGCAACGTTTATCGGGGCTGAGGCTCAAGACAGAATCTTAAGATTGACACCTTTAGGAGCAGGAGTACTGATGGACAGGAAGCATAGATGGATTTTCCCTTTTTCCCAGAGGTCTCCGGGCTTAGCGCACAAGAGAGCAGCCTGGAAACCCATTTGAGGTTTCCCCAGAGTATTGTCCTTCTCCTGGGTTTGATCTATGCCTCTCCCTGTCCTGTCTCCTAACTAATCTCTGTAACCATTGCATCAGGCCAGCCCACAGTTTGCCTCTGTAGCCCTCTGGTCTGGAGCTTCACTGCTGATGAAAGCCACATCCCATACATTATAAGGCAAGGGAGTGCTCCCCAGAGAGGATAGCCCAACAGAGAAATACACAGGGCAATATTGCATCTCTAGTCCCCTAGGACAAGTAGCTGTGCACTGCTTCTGGTTTTGTCCTCCCTTCCTTAAAGTGACCGGGGGAAGGTGGATTTTTTCCATTCATTTTACTGTGGTGTTTTTTTTTTTTCTTTTTTCTTAGATCTGGGGATTGAGCTCAGGACGTTGCACTTGCTAGGCAAGTGCTTTGCCACTGAGCTACATCCCAACCCTCCATTCATTTTAATAAATACTTAATATGCACCTACTATGTACCACAAAGTTTGGGGTCCAGACTACATTCTAAAGATTGAAAAAAAATCTCTGCTCTCAAAAGCTTGCATTTCAATGGGAGACATAGGGCCAAGGAGAAAACTAAAGCAGGAAAAGACAGAGAATGTTCAGGATGTAGTTTATGACTTGTGCAGAAATTACCTCAATATTTAAATGAAAAACGCAGAGAGGTAATCCAGTAAGTTATGAAGATCATGTAGAAGAGCTAAGCCAAAAGGCATAAGACTGAAGCATGTCTGGTATCTTTGGGAACATACCAGTGGACTGGACCAGTAAGTTGGGAGAGTGGTGAAAACCCAAGCAGGGAAGAAGCAGATTGTGTAGATCCTTGGAAGCCATTTTGAGGATGTTAGTCTTTAATATGTATGAAGTAGGAAGTCATGAGAGTTTTGAGGAAAGGAATGCCCTATATTAAAAGGGCTGTGGTAAGTTCCATAGTAGAGTGCTTAAAGGCCCTGAGATCAAGCACCAGCATCGCAAAGAACATAAAAAAGTGCAGGGGGGAGGGGGCGGGTGGGCAGGCTCACTTTGACTTTAGTATTCAACTTAGGTCATGTGGGGTAGGTAACAAAAGCAAACAATCCTGCAAGAATTCCAAAGGAATTCAGGAGAAATGATGATAAATTGAGCTACACTTGGAAACAATAGAATTGGAAAGAATGTTTAGGTTCTCAGTATTTTTTAAAAGAATGAGTTACTCTGGATTGAGTTGTGGGGTATGAGCTGGGAGGAATCAAGAATGATACCAAGGTTTTTAACTTAAGAAACTACAATTTCCAATTTAGTGAGACAGGGATACCCTTGGAAGAGAAAGATCTGACTTTTTGGCATAATCTAAAGGGCTGTAGATATCCAAAAGAAGATGGAAAATTGACAGTAGACAGCAGAGATGAGATCTTAGGGGAGATCCAGACTGGAAATGTACATTTGGAGTATGTACTTCCCCCAAATTCAGTCTGCAACAAGTTTCACCCCTGTCTTGAATTTAGAGAAAGCTGATTTGGCCATGAGTTTGCTTATTATGTAATCAGGATTGCAAATGTCAGCAACTAAAAATAAAGGAAGTTGAGCTTTCTTCTGTCCTTGGAATTGGATACAGGACCTTTAACTATAACTGTAGCCTAACTATGGAAGGACAGTAGGAGACTGGAGGTAAATAACTTTCCTCTTTCTCTTTCAGAAATAGCTAACATTTGTCTTTGTTCCCTATAGTGTTACAGAAGGAAGTGTATCTTCATACATCATCACACCTGAAAGCAGGTAAATTTAACTGAACCTTTTCAAAAGTAATTCCTAAGAGACATTGCTTAGGCACCCTTTGGTCGGACCCTAAGAAGTTATTAGAAGATCTAGCCATCATGGGAGATGGAAGTTTGAATCCAAGCAAATTTTTGCTGTCACACCATGCCCACCATGGGGTGACCTGTAACAAGCTATGTGTGTGTGTGTGTGCGCGTGTGCATGCGCGCACGCATGTGCGGGTCCTGGGGGTTGAACTCAGGATCTGAGCTTTTTTGCTCAAGGCTAATGCTGTACCTCTTGTGCCAAAGTTCTACTTCTGGCCTTTCGGTGCTAAACTAAAGAGGAGTCTCAGACTTTCCTGCCTAGGCTGGCTTTAAACCACAATCCTCAGATCTCAGCCTCCTAAGTAGCTAGGATTACAAGCATGAGCCACCAGCACCTGGTGCAAATAAATAAAATAAAATGCAAATCACTATTTGCATTTTATTTCCTAATTGAAAGCTGATTAATAGTGACGAAGTCCCAACAAAAGTAATTGTTTATTTTACCAATCCTCTTTAGGGTTAGATGAACCCAAGAACCATTTGCTCAAGTGCCTCACACAGGAGAAAGGAGCACTAATGTCCCGGTAATAGCCCCTAGAAATTACTAATAGTTTCCAAGTAGGTTGAGTACTTTTACTAGGATCCTGTAAGAATGTATATCCAGGGTAGAGTGCTTGCCTAGTATGCATGAAGCCTTGGGTTTGATTCCTTAGTACCACATAAACAGAAAAGGTTGAACATGGCGTTGTAGCTCAAGTGGTAAAGTGCAAAAGACGCTAAGGGCAGTGCTCAGGCCGAGTTCAAGCCCCAGGACTGGCCCAAAAAAAAGAATATATATCCATCTGGCACCAGTGGCTCATACCTATAATCCTAACTACTCAGAAGCCTGAGATCTGAGGATTGAAATTTGTACCCAGCCCAGTCCAACAAATCTGAATTTTTTTTTTCCTGTGCTAGTCCTGGAGCTTGAACTTAGGCACTCTAGGATATCCCTGAGCTTTTGTGCTCAAGGTTAGTTCTCTACCACTTGAGCCACAGCCCCACTTCCAGCTTTTTGGTAATTAATTAGAGATAAAGAGTCTCACAGACTTTCCTGTCTGGGGTGGCTTTGAACTGTGATCCTAAGATCTCAGCTTGCTGAGTAGGATTATAGGCTTGAGCCACCAGCATTCAGCTTTGAGAGACTCTTACTTCCATTTAGCCAGTGAAAAGTCAGGAAGTGGAGGTGTGGTTCAAATGGTAGAGCTCCAGCCATGAACAAAAACCTTAGTGAGAAGACACTCTCTAAAGAAATGTTAATACCAGGTTGGATATGTTCAGTGATAAGAATGGATGCTTAGCATGTCCAAGACCCAGGATTCAATCCTCAACCAGTATTCATCTCTAATGTTGTAGAAATACAATTTTTTAAAAAATGGATCTGACTTTAGGTCCAGTAAAAATATTTACAGGACCAGATATGGTGATGAAGTGCCTATAATATCAGAACTTCAGAGATTGAGCAGGAGAATCTTTGAATTCAAGGCTAGCATATTGAGACCATGTCTTAAAAATTTAAAAAGAACCTTTGTGGGCTGGGAAGGTGGCTCAGTGGTAGAGTGTTTGCCTTGTGTGCATGAGGCCCTGGGTACAGTTCCTCAGCACCACAAACCGAAATAAGCCGGAAGTGGCGTTGTGGCTCAAGTGGTAGAGCACTAGCCTTGAGCTGAAGAGTTGTGGGACAACGCCCAAGCCCAGAGTTCAGGATCTACAACCAAGACACACACACACACACACACATAACCTGTTTAAAAAAGAAAAAAAATAGAAGCACTAGAACCATTACTCAACCTGTGGAGCTTTTTTTTGGTTGGTTGGTTGGTTGTGGGGCTTCAACTCTGGGCCTGGGCGCTGTCCCTCAGCTCAAGATGAGCGCTCTACCACTTGAGCCAAAGTGCCACTTCTGGTTTTCTGAGTGGTTTGTTGGAGATAAGAGTCTTATGGACTTTCCTGCCTGGGCTGGCTTTGAACCGTGATCCTCAGATCTCAGCCTCCTGAGTAGTTAGGATTACAGGTGTGAGCCCCTGACGGCAGCAGGATCTCTGTGGAGCTTTTATCTTGAGTATTTATCTTTTTAGACCTTGATCCACTGCAGAGATGGCAGCTGAGTCATTGCCTTTCCCCTTTGGGACAATGTCCAACTGGGAGCTGGAAGCCTGGTATGAGGACCTGCAGGAAGTCCTGTCCTCAGATGGGGGTACCTATATCTCACCCCCTGGAAATGAAGAGGTGAGAATGCTAGTCCTAAAACTGGGGTAGGGAGTTACCATTTCCTCAACTAATACTCATCTCCTTTTCCTCATTTCCTTAAAGGAAGAATCGAAAACCTTCACCACTCTTGACCCTGCATCTCTAGCTTGGCTGGCTGAATTGCCAGGACCAGCAGAGGTCACAAGCACCTCCCAGAGCCCTCAATCTCCAGATTCCAGTCAGAGTTCCTTGGTGCAGGAGGAAGAGGAAGAAGATCAAAGAAGAACCAGGAAACGGAAACAGAGTGGCCCATGTCCAGCCCGTGCTGGGAAGCAGCGCATGAAGGATAAAGAACAGGAGAATGAAAAGAAAGTAGCACAGCTAGCTGAAGAGAATGAACGGCTCAAGCAGGAAATTGAACGACTAACCAAGGAAGTAGAAGCAACACGCCGAGCTCTGATTGACCGAATGGTTAATCTTCACCAAACATGAACAATTGGGATTATCACTCCCCAACTTGGGCCAGTACCTACCTTTCATGGGAAGTGGCTACTGACCACTCTCACACCATGCCAATGACATGACCATCAAATGCATGTGTTCAGTAGGGGAAAAATATGGGATAGACCAAAGGAAAGTATCTCCACTTGTATATATATAGATAGATTGTACATTTATTGATTACTGTTCATATCCAGTAAAGTGGCTTTCTATGAACAAGTTCTCTCACTTTTTTTTCTTGCCTTTAGGAGTTTCGAGGGGTTTACCCTCAGCTACAGCCAACTGTTTCTTTAGGTCCAAGAGCTTAGCCACCTCTGCAGCAACCTGGTTCTTGTCTGCCTTTTGTGCTTTCAGTTCTCGGACAATGTTGCCCTAAGAGAAGGGTGAGAAGGAATAACAGTGAGACCAGGAAATGACTTGTTTAGGACTTAGATTTTCCAATTTTCCATAATGTTTACAAATCATACCTGTTTTGTCACTTCATCCATCAGTACCTGTATCTGCTGTAACCCAGCTGTAACAGTCTCTACAACTGTTGACTTAGGGGATGCTTTTGCCTAGAGAAAAACAAAGGATTATTAGCGTAGTTGCCATAAATAGCTCCTGATCTCCAGGTTTATATAACATCTCAGGAGAGAAATGATTACCTTGAACTCCAAAGACTCTTCTAGCTAAGACAGAAAAGGAAAACTAGTAAGTGAAGAAGCATCAGGATCAAAAGATGGAAAGAGATCAATGAGGACTACTTGGGGAAACTAAGGTGGTGTTGCTGTGACTGTTGCTGGCTGAGGACACAGTCTAGCTTTCTCACCTGGCCCCCTCCAAAGCGCTGCCTCAAACTTTCAATCTGGTCATTTTCCAGTTTTTGGAACAGGGGACTGACCTGTAAAAACAAATTCCAGAATCATTCACTGATTAGGTATCAACTCTACAGATTACACAGAGGAGCCTCTCTAACGCTACTGTCTGAGACATTTAGAAAAGCTAAATGTTTTGGAAGAAATACAAGCATAACACTGAGTAAATACCTGCTGGTTTTAGGAAAGAATTCAGAAAAAAAGCAACACTCACTATGAAAGCAAATGTTAATAGGATTTAAAAATATTTAGTGATGTTAAGTTGATTTAGATATTTAAGATATACTTATCTGGGCAAAGAGGAAATGGCTACCCTCTATTCTCAGTCTACTACCTGCTAGCATTATGGTAACCAGGTATTTCTTCCAATGTTTCCATGCTGGTTAATTTTATGTGCCCAGTACTGGTTTCTGACATGAAGAACAATAAGGATATATAGACAATACTTGACTAGTGAAAGAGCCTTTTAAAAAAAAAGCCCAAGGGTAGAATGGGGAAGGAAGAAGGACTTCTGAGAAAAGGTATAAGAGCCCCAAGCAAAAGTCTATATGTGTTAGATCTCTAGCCCCACCCTAAAGGCTACAGGGCAAAAAGATGAATATTAAGGAAGGTTGCCCCTTCCAACTCAGACTTACTGTGCCAATCTGGTGCCCTGCTGGTAAGGTACACAGGAACTTTATGGGAAGAACACTGCAGACTTGAAGGGGGAGCTGCAGCTGGGTCTGGATGGTGGCGCTAACTGTAGGCATGTAAGGTTGGATCATGACAGACAGCAAGGCAGCTATATTCACTGCCAAGCCTGTCACTGTGCCTGCCCGCTGCCTGCGGGAGAAGAAAGATTAGTAAAGACCTCCAAGAAGATACATATAATTCATGGAGCCAACTACCCCTCCTTATGTACCTGTCTGCCTCACTGCCTTTAATCCTTTTCCAGGGTTCATTCACCTGAATATATTGGTTGCCATGTCTCGATATGGTAAGGATACTGCGTAAGGCATCCCGGATCCTGGGAAGGGAAGAAGCAGCAAGTATATAAGTGCTCTCAACATACCAGCAAGTTTCTGATGTGAAATAGGTATGGATTACTTACCGAACCTTTTCGAGTAGCTGGTGATAGTGCTGGAGCTCCAGGGTGATATGGGCCAGCAGGCGCTGATCATCAGGGGTAAGCACCATCTCAGGCACACAGCCCCCAAAAAACTTAGACACAAACATCCCAGCTCTTGATGGATGAAGACAAGAGGGAAGTTACTACCCAGACTCCTTACAGAAACTTGACCCTTTTTCTGTATCTCTTCATTCATTTAAGATTCCTGAATACAACAGACATTTCTTAGCTGCTCAAACTAGAGGAGCTTAACAACCTTTCTATTAGCATATATTAGGGATGCAAGGGAATCAGGAGGTTCATTGTGACATTCCAATACATACATACAATGTAACCCATCAAACTCCCTCCCTCCATCTCTCTCCCTAATCTCCACCTCCCCTGCTTCTTATGACAATTTCAACAAGATTCACTGTTTTTTTTTTTTTTTTTTTTGGGGGGGGGGGGGTCCAGTCGTGGGGCTTGAACTCTGGCACTGGGTGCTGTACCTCAGTTCTTCAGCTCAAGGCTAGGGCTCTACCACTTAAGCCACAGCACCACTTCCGGCTTTTTTCTTTTTGCTTATGTGGTGCTGAGGAATCGAACCCAGGGCTCAGGCATGCAAGGCAAGCGCTCTACCACTGAGCCACCTTAGCCCCTGTTCTATTTTTTTCATACATGCACATTAAGTATGCCTATCATATTTACCCTTCTTCATTCTCTTCATTGGTTCTCTCCCCTCTCACTGTTTCTCATCCCCAAATAGAGCCTATTTTACAAAACTATTCTCTGTCCAAAGAATGTAACTGCACACAAATCTAATAAAGGTAAACAGTGTACATGCTAAAAGGTAAATACTCAGAATAACCAGACAGAATTATCTGTGTGTTAATTAGCTAAGGACAGAGCTAAAGGTCCAGGGAGACTTTAGAATAGTAAGCCAGGAAGTGGCACTGGCTCAAGTGGTAGAGTGCTAGCCTTGAGCTTAAGAGCAGGAACAGTACCTAGGCCTAGAGTTCAAGCCCCATAACTGACAAAAAAAAAAAGAATAGTAAGCTATAGAAGACATTTTTTCCTTTGGTACTAAAGATCAAACCCAGAGCTTTACACTTGCTGGGAAAGTACTCCACAACTGAGTTATAACCCTCAGTCCCAGGATAGTTCTTTAGATTGGAGAATTGCTATGGTAGGATGTGAGCTAAACTGACAACTCTAAAGAATGCAATGGAAACTTCGTATTTTTGCACAAGAATAACCCTTGCCGCTAAACTTCTTGATTTGTAGGTGAATTGTTTTTGTGAGGAGAGAATGTATCTACAATTCTACAAAGCACAAAGAGGGGCTAGAGGTATGATTCAGGTGGTAGAGCACCTGCCTAGCAAGTGCAAAACTCTGAGTTCAAACCCCAGAGCCACCTACCACTTTCTCTTTTCCCACTGAAAAAACATCTACCCTGTGACCATTTTGCTCCATCATGTCTCTACAACTGACTATTCTCTCAAGCACATATGTCCTGGGAGCATATCTGAACTGACACAAATCAACTTTCTCCACTGTCCTTCCATCCCTCACAGCCTCCTGCCACATTCCTGTCTCCTGAGAACTCACCCATTCCCAGCTAATTTGCTCACTCTCTCCCTTTACCAAGTCCTACCTGTTGACAAAGTTGCCCAAGTTGTTAAGCAGCTCAGAATTATTCTTGAGCAGCATGTCTGTCCAGGAGAAGGCACTGTCTTGGCCCTCAGGCCGAATGTATAGCAGATAAAAACGCCAGATATCAGCAGGGATTCCTGTGTTCTGGGCCATGTCTCCAAACACTCCCACACCCCGGCTCTTAGAGAATTTCCCGTCTTCATAGTTAAGGTATTCTGAAAAGAATAGACAAAGAATCATCTGTTCAAATCATACCCTTCACTAGCCTCCCTCCCTCCCATCTATGGTGACTGTCTAGCAGCACCCTGCCTTGAGCACTGAGGACTGAACCCAGGCCCTTGCGCTCTTCTCTCAGCTTTCTCGCTCACAGCTGGTGCCCTCGCATTTGACCCATGCATCCAGTCCAGCACTTTGCTGGTTAAATGGATATGGAATCTTACAAACTTTTCTAATTGAGTTGGCTTCTGTGATCCCAGGTCTCAGCATGCCAAGGATCTAAGATTTCAGGCATGAGCTACTGATGCCTGGCCTTGCAACAGTTTCAGTTTGGTCTTCTGCTTTCTTCAGCTTATTATTTACTACCTTCAGATAGAGTTCTCCATGTTTTATTTCATCTCAACTCCTACCTTGAGACCTAGCACCTCTCCAGGATCATCTTAATTTCAGACCCCAGAAACACCTTAAGTGCACTCTTCCAAAGTACCTACCTGTAGCAATGAGGTGCTTGACCAAGGTGTAGTTGTCCTCAGCTCCTAGGGCTGAACAAGGAAAGACTAAACCATGGAAGGGAACATTATCTTTGGCCATGAACTGGTAAAGGTCCACCTAGGAGAATGTATTTGGGAAAGAGTTCTCTTGAGACTTTCTTTTAAAACCCAAGAAAATTAGATATGTAACCCTTTTTACCTCCTGTTACACACACCCACTACCCAAAGATAAACTAAGAACTGCTCACTTGCTCTGGGTTCTTCCACCATCTCTCCCACTGCTCTGTGTAGTTGGCTGTGATGGACAGGTAACCAATAGTAGCATCAAACCAGACATAAAATACCTAGAGAGTCAAGGAGAGAGAAACGAAGTTAGGGACAACCCAAAGTTTCAGACAGAAACAAGAATGCTTTAAAAGTCTAGCTGGCTACAGCCTCATGACTGTAATCCTCGCTACTTAGGAGGCTGAGCTCTGAGGATCGAGGTTCAAAACCAGGCCAGATAGGCAAGTCCATAAGACTCATATCTCTAATAAATTACACACAAAAAAAAAAAGCCTGAAGTGGAGCTGTAGCTCAAGTGGTAAAACACTAGCCTTAGGCAGGGACAGTGCCCAGACTCTGAGCTCAAGTCATATGATTGGCGTGCACAGGCACATGCATGCATGCGTACATGCATACACACACGCATGCGTACACACACACACACACACACACACACACACACACACACACACACACACAGGCTTGCCCATGGTCCTTGAGGCTGAATAAATTAAGACATGAACAAACGTTAAAAGATTTTACCTTGTCCTCAAAACCTTCTAAGGGTACAGGGGTTCCCCATTTAAGATCTCGAGTTATGCAGCGTGGCTTGAGGCCATCCCGAAGCCAAGAACGAATAATAAACCGGGCATTTGGTGTCCAGTCACTACCAGGCAATGTCTTCCCCAACCAATCTTCCAGTCGATTTTCCAGCTGAGATGACAGTGACATTGGATGAAACATAATTAACATAAAGAGAAATAAGTACTTTTTGGAGTACGTTTGGTAATATATAATTAATATGAGAAGATACGAGTGACATAGCAGCTCCACTTCTATGAATTTCCTAAAAGAAATTTCTTTTTACTCAACAGAATTTTTTATTCACACAACAATATAGAGATGTGTACATAAGAAATGCAAAATGTTAAAACTAATCTGCATGCAATGGCATGTACCTATACTCCCAGCTACTCAGGAGGCTAAAAGGGAAAAATCAGAAGCTTGAGGTAGAAGCTATGCACATGGTTGACAAATGCTCTATCACTAAGCTATGTCTCCAGCACTTGGGTTTTTTTTTTTTTTTTTTTTTTTTGCCAGTCATGGGGCCTGAACTCTGGGCCTGGGCGCTGTCCCTCAGCTCTTCAGCTCAAGGCTAGTGCTCTACCACTGGAGCCACAGCGCCACTTCTGGCTTTTTCTGTTTATGTGGTGCTGAGGAATCGAACCCAGGGCCTCATGCTTGCAAGGCATGCACTCTACCGCTGAGCTACCTTCCCAGCCCCTGGGTTTGGTTTTTTATTTTTGCTTTTGTGTATGTTAATTTAATTGTACAAATATTAATTTACACAGTAAGGAAAACTTCCTCACCTTCATTTCCTCTTAGGCACTGTGAAGCCCACTAGATACCCACCCAGTCTAGGTGGGAGGGGCAGCCATGCTGGGGGAGAACAGCTCACACTACTGAACCCTGGCAACCCTTCTATCCTCTCCTCTTGGGGCTCAAGCTGAATTTAGGTTTTACCCTACTGCTCACTTCCCATTCTGGCCCCTCTGGGGCCACTAGCTTGAGATTCTCTCCAGGCTAGAAGTGCTTCTAATGGGCTTAAGAGTTGCAGCCAGTCCTTACTACAGGTAGAGAAAGAAGGCTGTTCTAGAAAAATACCCCAAATTCATCTACCCCCACGGCAAAAAGAAAAAAAAGGCACGCACATGTATGTACACACACACACACACACACACACACACACACACACACACACACACACACATATACACACACACACCTCCATGCACACAGACAGATTCTTCCCAAATTGACAGTCCTTTCCAATTGAATTCAAGCCTAAATCATAGATCACCTAAGGCTGGTGCCAGCCTCACCTTAGAGTGTCAGATAAAATTGGCAGTCCTGCTCAGAAGCAGCCTGCCATATGTGAAGATACTAAGAGAGCCTGCCACCCTACTAGGCAGGGAGTAAAGAAGAGCTCCAGGCAGTTCTAAAGAGCCACACCAGTGTGCAGAGGGAAAATGAGTGCCACCAATACTCTTGTGTGGCCCTGGGGAAGACATGCACCAGGAATGTACTTGCTCTGGCCCTCTGCAAGGAGCTCACCTCTCCAAGGATACACACAGAAACTACTTGTTGGAAAAGCAGCCAAAGTGCCCAAGACATTTAACTTTCTAAGCAAGGTTGCACACAAACAGGAAGACAAGCAGGATGACAGGCAGGGCTAGACTGATGTGGCTGATAAAAGCTCTGCTGAATTAAGGCAGAAAACCTGTGCTAGGAAAGGGGAAGGGCACTTGGGTGTGTGTGTGTGTGTGTGTCTTGCAGCAGCAGATGGGGATGCCAGGGCAGCTGAAGATAAGCTGCTCTGAGGCCATATGAATAGGAAGAATAGCTGAGCACATGTACACTCCAGAGTGGCAGTGTCCTAGGAGACAGGCACCTATAGCAGCAGCAGTCTGGGCTCACAACAGCCCTCAGACCAAAGCCATTCTGTGCCCTGTGGGGTGAGTCCCCAGCATGGATTTCCCTCTGCTCTGCTAGGGAATGGGAACCCATGTGTGCAAAGAAGTGTGTGCTCCAGAGAAGCCCCAGGCTAACCCAACTACACCACGCTTCTAAACAGGCAGTGTCTCCAGTGAAGCACTTGTTTTGTTTGTTTTGTTGGTCGTAGGGCCTCAACTATAGGTCTGGGCACTGTCCCTGAGCTTCTCTTGCTCAAGGCTAGCACTCTACCACTTGAGCCACAGTGCCACTTTCGGCCTTTTCTGCTTATGTGGTGCTGAGGAACTGAATCCAGGGCCTCATGAATGCAAGGCAAGCACTCTACCACTGAGCCACTTTCCCAGACCAACACTTGGGTTTTGTTTTTGTTCTGTTGGTGTTGTTGCTTTTGTCAGTCCTGAGGCTTGAACTCAGTCAGGGCCTGGGCTCTGTCCCTGAGCCCCTCTGTGTTCAAGGCTAGTGCTCTACCACTTGAGCCACAGCACCACTTCCAGCTTTTTCTGCTTATGTGGTGCTAAGGAATCGAACCCAGGGCCTCATGCAGGCTAGGCAAGCACTCTACCACTGAACTACCTTCCCAGCCCCAAGCACTTCATTTTTTAAGACGGACTCATCCTGCCTTTTACTCCCAAGTGCTGGGATTACAGGAATGGACCACTATGCCTGGTAAGACTCAATATTTAAGAAAAGTAGATAGAACTCTGACCTGTGAGCCAAGCTTACACCTGGCCAAACAAGGGACAACTTGACCATGAAAATAATTATGGCAAGCTAAGCGCCAGTGGCTCACGCCTGTAATCCTAGCTACTTAGGAGGCTGAGACCTGAGGCTTATGGTTCAAAGCAGGAAAGTCTGTGAGACTCTTATTTCCAATAAACCACTAGAAAACTGGAAGTGGTGAAGTAGCTCAAGCGGTAGAGTGCTCGCCTTGAGCTGAAGAGTACAGGGACAGCGCCCAAGCCCAGAATTCAAGCCCCACGACTGAAAAATAATAATAAAAATTATTATTATTATTACTATTATTATGGCAAAGCCAGGCGCTGGTGGCTCATGCCTGTAATCCTAGCTAATCAGGAAGCTTAGATCTAAGGATCGGAGTTTGGAGCCAGCCCAGGCAGGAAAGTCCATGAGACTCTTAACTCTATAATAAACTACTCAGAAAAAGCCAGAAATGGCACTGTGGCTGAATTGGTAGAGTGCTAGCCTTAAGCAAAGTTCAGGGACAGCACCCAGGCCCAGGCAACAACAACAAAGGAAAGAGTAACAGCAAAAAGCAATGATAAACCACTGAAAAAATAAGAATCAATGAATATACACTGAAAAGGAGGAAAGGAAGACGTGGAATGTGGAGGGGAGTGGCAGAGTTAGAAAATCACTGTAGTAATGATTGGCTCAAGTGGGACATACCAAAACAAACACAACTGGGAGCAATGCCACAGCCATGACTCCTGGAAACCAGACTGAGCTCACAGACTAGAAGACCATGAAAAGAGTAGATTAGCTACATGAAAGCCACTACCCTGATGTTACCCATAAGCGGTTGACTTGGAAATCATGCAGCAGAAGCAAAAAAAGTCAAGTAAGAAATAGAGACATCTTTTCCCCTTTGCCTGTGTGCCCAGAACCAGTCCCACCATGCTCCATTTCTTCTTGTAGTGCTCATAGGTCCCACCCAATACCCAATGCAGACCCTTTACACCGAGCTGAAACAGGTCTGTTTTCTTGCTTGTTCTCACTCCCTTCTTCTCTCCCTGGATTGAACCCCAGGGCCTTCCGTATACTAGGCAAACATGCAGTGGGTCCCTTTTGTGTTCCCTTGCCCTCAGTAGCGTCTTGCGGGATTACTACTAGAGGTGATTCTTTTTTCCCCTTCAGTGGTATGTATGCTGTAAGACTCTCAGCAAAATATTAAAAGTAGCTTTATGATTGGGGGTGGCAGAGAAGAGAGAGAGGGAGGGATTGGTTTTGGTGAAAATGGTCAACTGATGCTAAATTTAGAACATTTTATGAAGAGCATGGTCTTAAAGTACATTAATATAGACTGTTCCTAAGTTGCAAGCAGGAAATTAATGATACAAAGAAGAAATTGAATAACATCTTGACTAAAATAACGTCACCAATGAGGAGACAGATGGCCATGTCATGTGTCTTTGGAAAGGACACCATTTTATGTAGATTCTGGCCAAGCATATAATCTTAATTCCTAACAAATCCAAACCTAGGACTATTCCACATTAAAAAGGGGGTTGGGACCTGCAGTCTAAAAAAAAAATGTTAATGTCATAAAAGACAGAGTCTGAGAAACTGTTTCAGATCAAAGGAAACTAGGAGCTAATAAAAACTAAATGCAAGACTGAGGCTCCAGCTCAAGAGGAGGTACCAAGCTTGAGGTCTTATAGCGCAGGGACAGCACCCAAACCCAAAATTCAAGGCCCATGACCAACCAAAAAAAAACAAAAACAAAGCCAGCTCAGGCAGGAAAGTCCATGAGACTCTTATCTCCAACTACTTGAAAACCAGAAGTAGAGCTCTGGCTCAAAGTAGCAGAGGCTAGCCTTGAGTGAAAAAGCTCAGGAACAGGCCCTGAGTTCAAGCCCTCAGAACCAACCAAAAGAAAAAAAAACTACTGGAGCAGAGCGAGCAAGCCGAGTGGTTGTGTAGTCGCATCTCAGGAACTGGTAGCGCTTGCAGCATGGCTGACCAACTGACTGAAGAGCAGACTGCAGAATTCAAAGAAGCTTTTTCACTATTTGACAAGGATGGTGATGGAACTATAACAACAAAGGAACTGGGAACTGTAATGAGGTCTCTTGGGCAGAATCCCACAGAAGCAGAATTACAGGACATGATTAATGAAGTAGATGCCGATGGTAATGGCGCAATTGACTTCCCTGAATTTCTGACAATAATGGCAAGAAAAATGAAAGATACCGACAGTGAAGAAGAAATCAGAGAAGCATTCCGTGTGTTTGATAAGGATGGCAATGGTTATGTAGTGCAGCAGAGCTTTGCCACAGATGAAGAGGTTGATGAAATGATCAGGGCAGCAGGTATTGATGGTGATAGTCAAGTAAACTATGAAGAGTTTGTACAAATGATGACAGCAAAGTGAAGATATTGTACAGAATGTGTTCAATTTCTTGTACAAAATTGTTTATTTGCCTTTTCTTTGTTTGTAACTTATCTGTAAAAGGTTTCCCCTGCAGTCAAAAAAATATGCATGTATAGTAATTAGGATTTCATTCCTCCATGTTTTCTTCCCTTACCTTACTATCATGGTCCTGAAACCTTATTTTAGAAAATTGATCAAGTAACATGATGCACGTGGCTTACTCTGGATATATCTAAGCCCTTCTGCACATCTAAACTTAGATGGAGTTGGTCAAATGAGGGAACATCTGGGTTATGCGTTTTTTAAGTAGTTTCCTTTTAGGAACTGTCAGCACGTTGTTGTTAAAGTGTGGAATTGTAACTTTGCTTGGACTATGAATAGTCAACAATATGTACTTAAAAGTTGCACTATTGCAAAACGGGTGTATTATCCAGGTACACGTACACTATTTTTTTGTACTGCTGGTCTTGTACCAGAAACATTTTCTTTTATTGTTACTTGCTTTTTAAACTTTGTTTTAGCCACTTAAAAAAAAACCTGCTTATGGCACAATTTGCCTCAATCCATTCCAAGTTGTATATTTGTTTTCCAATAAAAAAATTACAATTTACCAAAAAAAAAAAAAGAGAAAAAAACTACTGGAGGCCAAGCGTGTAGGTCAGAGCTGGCACATTTGTCTACCATAAGCTAAGCTAGGAATAACTACGAAAAGGAAGAAAAAGAAAGAATATTATTGGGATAATTAACAAAATTGGAGTATGGGTGGTAGAAGAGATCAAATTCAGACAAATACATCCTTGTGAAATCTCCTGAGGTTGGTTAACTATATTGTGGCTATGCAAGAAAACGTGCTATCTTGGGGCTGGGAAGGTGGCTCAGTGGTAGAGTGCTTGCCTTACATGCATGAGGCCCTGGGTTCAATTCCTCAGCACCACATAAGCAGAAAAAACTAGAAGTGGCACTATAGTTCAAGTGGTAGAGCGCTAGCCTTGAGCTGAAGAGCTGAGGGACAGTGCCCAGGCCCAGAGTTCAGGACCCACAACTGGCAAAAAAAAAAAAAAGAAAAAAAATGTGCTATCTTACCATCCATTGGGCCCTTTGCTAGAAAAGTACAATCATGAGCCGGGCTCTGGTGGCTCACGCCTGTAATCCTAGCTACTCAGGAGGCTGAGATCTGAGGATCGCGGTTCAAAGCCAGCCCGGGCAGGAAAGACCATGAGACTCCTATCTCCAATAAAACCACCAGAAAACCGGAAGTGGCGCTGTAGCTCAAGTGGTAGAGCGCTCGGTTTGAGCTGAAGAGCTGAGCGACAGTGCCCAGGCCCAGAGTTCAAGCCCCACGACCGACCAAAAAAAAAAAAAAAAAAAAGAAAAGTACAATCATGTCTCAAATTATGCCTTTTAAATTGTATCTTACTTGTTTGTTTGTTGCCGGTCATGGGGCTTGAACTCTGGGCCTGGACACTGTCCCTCAGCTCTTCAACTCAAGGCTAGCGCTCTATCACTTAAGCCACAGTGCCACTTCCAATTTTCAGGTGGTTAACAGGAGGTAGGAGTCTCATAGACTTTCCTGCCCAGGTTGGCAGATCTCAGCCTCCTGAATAGCTAGGATTACAGGTGTGAGCCACCAGCACCCAGCCACACACACAAATTACACTAACATTCTATCCCACCCAGTCAGAATGGCTATCATCAAGAAAACAAATGCTGGCTAAGATGGGGGAATCCGGGCTGGGAAGGTAGCTCAGTGGTAGAGTGCTTGCCTTGCATGCCTGAGGCCCTGGGTTCAATTCCTCAGCACCACATAAGCAGAAAAAGCCAGAAGTGGCGCTGTGGCTCTAGTGGTAGAGTGCTAGCCTTGAGCTGAAGAGCTGAGGGACAGCATCCAGGCCCAGAGCTCAGGCCCCATTACTGGCAAAAAAAAAAAAAAAAATTAAAAATAGGGGTGGGCGGGGAAGGTTGCTTAGTGGTAGAATTCTTGCCTTGCATGCATGAGGACCTGGGTTCAATTCCTCAGTACCACATAAGCAGAAAAGGCCAGAAGTGGTGCTGTGGCTCAAGTGGTAGTGCGCTAGCTTTCAGCTGAAGACCTGAGGGACAGCGCCCAGGCCCACAGTTCAGGCACCACGACAAAAAAAAAAAATTAAAAATAGACCTATGCCATTGTCATACCACTACTGAGTGTGTATCTAAAGCCATATAAATCCAAACAAGAAAGGCTACATTTCTTGCTCTTACCTCCAAGAGAGACCTAGCCTCCTGCTCCCAAGTATTGGGTTTATAGACATGTACTACCATGCTCAAACACATAAATTTTATGAAAATTAAAAACACTTGAGCTTGGTGTGGCTCATGACTTTAATTCTCCTGAGTAGGAGGCTATCCTACTAAGGATAGAGATTAAAATCCAGCCTGGGTAGGACCATGAGACTCTTATCTCCAATTAACCACCAGAAAACCAGAAGTGGTGCTGTGGCTCAAATAGAGCATGTAAACAAAAAAGCTCAGAGACAACACCCAGGCCCTGAGTTCAAGCCCATAATTGACCAAAACAACAAAATAAACACAACCTGAAAATGATTGGATATCTATATGTGGCTGAGGCAGAATGGACTGAAGAGGCCTTCCTAAGACTAGGTTAAGGGAAAGATGAATTTACCTTAGGCAGGTCCAAGAACAGGTGCTGGGAGGACTTCACCACAGGGCATGACCGGCAGACTTTACACTGAGGTTTCTGTGAAGGGAAATTCCAGAGAAAGGGTGACCCGAGGTAGAATGAGCAGGATCAAGACTGAAGACAGTGGGAAGCTGTGCGGCAAGCTGAAGGGAAATGAGGATGAACAGCTCAATGTGCACTCTAGGCAGCTTCAGGCTTATGCCCAGCCCACTACTCAATGAATTAGCCTTTGAACTTTGGAGACTCAAGAATAAATGTACTTTACTGTACAGTGTAACATTTGTTCCTCAGTTCCACTTCTCTGTCTATCACTCTAGGCTATCACCTAGCCTGTGATCACAGGCTAGGTTCAGAGCACTGGGCTGAATTTAGCTATATGAGGGGAGGTAGGAGTGACAAAAGAAGACAATACCACCCATCTTCTTGAGTTCCAATCCAAATAGGGAGAAATGTTTGCAGAAGAAACAAATGCAGGCCTTTAATTATAAAATAATAATTTTAGCTAGTGATAAAGTGAGCTCACACCTATAATCCTAGCTGCTCCAGAGGCTGAGATCTGAGACAATGGTGCAAAGCCAGTGAGAGCAGCAAAGTCCGTGAGACTTATCTCCACTAGACTACAAAAATAAAAATAAAAACTCAGAAGTGGAGCTGTGGCTCAAGCGGTAGAACACTAGCCTTGAACACAAAAGCCCAGGAACAAGCCAAGCACTGGTGGCTCATGCCTGTAATCCTAGCTACTCAGGAGGCTGAGATCTGAGGATTGCTGTTCAAAGCCAGCAGGGTCAGGAAAATCCATGAGACTCTTATCTCCAATAAAACAGAAAACTGGAAATGGAACTGTGGCCCAAATGGTAGAGTGCTTGCCTTGAGCTGAAGAGCTCAGGGGCAGTGTCCAGGCCCAGAGTTCAAACCACAGGATGGGCAATAAAGAAATAGATAAATAAGTAAATAATTCTTTTGTACAAATTAATAACATATACACTAAAAGGTGATGGTTAAAGGAATAAACAGGTAGCGCTAATCAAGTGAGAAAGGTTCCAAGTGCATTTTGAAATAGGGTTTGGATGTGAGAAATAGTAATTCTCTCATGCTTCTCTATTATCTCTACATGCTTATATCCAACTGCTTACTTAGATGAACATAAGCCCCTCAAAATTAGCGAACAGTACCACTACATTCAGCAAGACGACCTGTTCACCTAATCTCTTTGTCATAGATGGTACTACCATCTGCCCAACCTGCTCAAGCCAAAACAAAAAACAAAAAACCAAACATCTGTAAGCTAGCCACAGCTTACAGGTAGCCATACAGGCTTCACATCTGTAATACTAGCTATGCAGGAGGCTAAGATCTGAGGATCGAATTTCAAAGCTAGGCAGGGAAGCCCATTAGAGTCTTTATCTCCAATTAACTACTAAAAAGCTGCAAATGGCATTGTGGCTCAAGGTGGCAGAGCACTAGCCTTGAGCACAAAAGCTCAGGGACAGTGCCCTGGATTCAAGTCCCAGGACTGTCACCAAATGAAAAAAAGGTTTTTTGGTGCTGGAGATCAAATCTAAGGCCTTGGTCATGCTAAACAAGTGCTCTATGATTGCTCTATACTCTCAACCCAAACTAATTATTTATAAAACATTGTTTTCTGTGTGTATGTGTGTGTGTGTGTGTGTGTGTGTGTGTGTGTGTATCAGTCTGTCAGTCCTGCGTCTTGAACTCAAGGCTAAGGTGGTGTGTGTGTGTGTGTGTGTGTGTGTGTGTGTGTGTGTGTGTGTGTGTGTGTGTGTGTGTGTGTGTGTGTGTGTGTGTGTGTGTATCAGTCTGTCAGTCCTGCGTCTTGAACTCAAAGGTGTGTGTGTGTGTGTGTGTGTGTGTGTATCAGTCTGTCAGTCCTGCGTCTTGAACTCAAGGCTAAGGTGCTATATCCTTGAGCTTTTTTGCTCAAGGCTAGTGGCCTACCACTTGAGCCATAGTTCCACTTATACCTTTTTGGTGGTGAATTAAGAGAAAAAAAAGGACTTTTCTGCCTGGGCTGGCTTCAGACTGTGATCCTCAGATCTCAGCTTCCTGAGTAGCTAGGGTTATAGGTGAGCAACCAGCATCTTGTTGCCATTTTCTTAAATACTCCAAATTTCAGTCTATCCACCACTATACACAACTCAAATCAATTTTTCCCCCATTTCTACTGGCACTTACCTACCCCAAGCCAGTAACATCCCTTTTTTGGATTCTAGCCTCTAAACCCTTCTACCTACTTCTCTCTTGCTTCTGTCCCATCCCTTTCCCACAGAGCAGCTTGACACTCAACTAGAATAAAATTTAAACTTCTTTAGTGTTTTAGTAGGCCCTTAGGATCTGATCCCTATCTTTCTCTCTGACTATACTTCATTTTACCCTGCTTCTCATACACTGTGCTACACTATACTGGCTACCATTTTTTCTTTTCTCACTTTCTTTTGTAGTGCTGAGATTTCAACTCAGGGCCTTGCATTTGCTTAGCTGGAGCTCTACCACTTGAGCCACGTTACTGGCTATTTTGAAGATGGAGTTTCACAGGCTTTTCTGCCCATGCTGGTCTCAAACCACAATCCTCTGGTTTTCAGATTCAGTAGCTAGGATCATAGGCATGAGCCACAGATGCTCAGCCAATACTGCCCTTTTAAGTTCTGCCTTCTCAGCCTTTGCCACTTTTACATTGGCTTTTACATTGCCTCATCCTTCTACTTGGAATACTCTTAATTCTTCTATTGCTTTGCTTGCCCCTTCTCATTCAAATATTACCTCTTCTGAGAGAACTTCACAATCTGTTCACTTAACTTAGAGCCTACTCTGTAATCTATCTGCATGGCAGTTTATTCAGAATTATTTCCTTGTTTAGTTGGTCTCCTCCCCACTTTAGGAAAGTATCTGTTCCCTCTCTCATCTCTAGTCTCTGCAATTCTAAATGGTTGTAGAATCCTTATTCAGGTAGCCTAAAGCAGGGGCACAGGTCAGGAGGCAGAAACAATTTCCTCTCAGGCTCCTATGAGAACTTCCTCTCACCTTGAGCTCAATGGCATTGATGAGTTTGCCACACTTATCACACTGGTCACCCCGGGCTTCTTCGTAGCCACAGAAGGGACACACTCCTTCCACAAAGCGGTCAGCCAGGAAACGGGCGCAGTGCTCACACCGCAGTTGCTCTACTGTATCTTGTACCACAAAACCTCGGGTCAGCAACCGCTGGAAGATGTCCTGTGTGATTCTGGCAGATAAGCAAGAGATGGGAAGAGAAAGTCAAAAAATGTGCATCCCTCCCTTTCGCTGCTTCAACAAGTTGACCCAAACTTTTCAGTCCAAGTTCCTCATGGAAAAGGCCATCCATTCCCCTTAGTTATACTGGGTAAGGCAGATGACTCCCACAATTCCCAACTTCCAGTTTCTTCTCAGCACTCCAAAATTGGCTTTTGTTAAATCCAGACAAGTCTTACTTTATCCTCATGACTGTCTGCTCTACACACAGCACTCACAGCATCTGCAGCCTGTCTGCTAAGTAGCTTTTGTAAGGGACAAAGGAAGAACCCTATTCACCATAAATGCACACACATAAGGAGGGACAATTTTAAGATTCTGAAGCAGCCAGAGAGGAAGGTAGGCACTAGGTGGAAGGTAATTAGTGCTTCTTTTTAATTAGTAAGTAGTGCTTCTTTTATCCCTTTGGTGGTCCTTCAGGCCCCGGTCAAACATTTTGTTTCTCCTTTTTTAAATTGTTATTATAGGGCTGGGAAGGTGGCTCAGTGGTAGAACGCTTGCCTTGCATGCCTGAGGCCCTGGGTTTGATTCCTCAGCACCACATAAGCAAAAAATCAAAAGCCGGAAGTGACACTGTGGCTCAAGTGGTAGAGCGCTAACCTTGAGCTGAAGAGCTGAGGGACAGTGCCCAGGCCCAGAGTTCAGGTCCCACGACCGGACCCAAAAAAAAAAAACTTTAAAAAAAAATTGTTATTATAGGAAATGGTGCTGTGGCTCAAGTGGTAGAGTGCTAGACTTGAGCTGAAGAGCTGAGACAGCGCCCAGGCCCAGAGTTCAAGTCCCACAAGCTATTAAAAATTGTTATTATAAAGGTGATATACAGAGGGATTATAGTTCCTAGTCAAGCTTTTGGACAGATCAGATCTCCTCAAGAAGGCCAGGGATACATTTAAGGGCAATGTTCAGACTCTAAGTTCAGGAGATGTTCTTATCCACCCTGATCCATTCTGTCGCCAAGATATCCTCACTGCCTGTAACCCTCAACCTCTATTTCTGTTTCCTCAGAGGAAACCTACTTGGTCTGGTGTGGAGTGGTGGTGCGACCAAAAATATCAAATGAGATATTAAACCAGTGGTAGATGTCAGCATGGATGCGATGATACTTGTCACAGATTTCCCGAGGGGTTAGGCCCTCCTCCATAGCCTTGGTCTCTGTTGCTGTGCCATACTCATCTGTCCCACACAGATAGAGGGTATTCCACTGGCGGAGGCGAGAGTATCTGGAAGGGAACATGGTGGTCATGGGGAGAGGGCTCAACTCAACTGCTGATCCCAATCCCCGGGACTCTAGCCACCATCCTGGAGGCATAGTATTTCCCTGTGGCCCACTCCCCCCACCGCTCAGAAAGACTCTTCTTGAGTTGGTTCCACCTGGCAAAGACGTCGGCACTGAGCACACAACCAATAATGTTTCCAAGGTGGGGGACATTGTTGACATAAGGGAGGGCACTGGTGATGAGCACATTCCTTTCCCCAGCCACAGGCAACCTGGTAAAGAAAGAGGAAGAGAGTCATTCACAGGAAAGTTGTAAGGTACAAGAATTACTGAAAGTTCACAGAACACCCTGACATGGACTTGTTCTGCTGTCATAGATCCCTGTATGTCTACTGCTTCCTCATGTGAACTCACAAATACCCTCCAACAGAGCCCACTGTGTGGGCCATGCCAACTGAGGGCAAGCCTCATGTACTATTATGGCTACTGCATGTGCCTCAGTCCAACACTGACTTCTTTCCCTTTTACTATGACAGTCGTTCATTCTCAGGCTCAAACTTCCTAGTCAGGGTTTGTTCAACCTGCATCACTCTCACTACTCCTAAGATTCCCAGTGCTGACCTCTTCTTTCTCGATGCTGTTTCTAGCACCATCTAGGCACTATCTGAATCCCTATAGCTCATCACTCCATTACCAAGCCCTCTGTACCCTTTGACTCTTTTCTCCCTAACGCATGCCTATCATTTCCCCATGGCCTAACTTAAACCAGCAGGTACCAGCTTTTGCCTTCACAGTCACTTTTACAGGATCACTCCTAGTCATGCCATTCAGTCTGCTGACTAGAGTCACTCAGCTCAGTGTTCCTTTTCATGCTTCATCACCCTGACAGCTCTCAGCTGCACAGATCCTATATCCCTCCTCTCCTTAGTACTGAGACCTCAATGAAGCACCTGTCACCTTTTCAACCACTCTCGTTCTACAAACTGGCTCCTGATTCCCTCACATTATCTCACCCCTTCTTCCTAGCGCTGCTATATGTCCCAGTCATGTTTCTACTTCATGAGACACTTTTTTTAGTGAATTTCTTCAATAAAGATCTAGTTTTCATGCATTCAATGCCTTTCTCACCATAACTGAATATCATAATTGTCTCTGAAGCAGTTTAGAAATGCATTCCTAAGCCAGGTGCTGGTGGCTCATGCCTGTAATCCAGAGCTATTCAGGAGGCTGAGATCTGAGGGTCATGGTTTGAAGCCAGCCCAGCCAGAAAAATCCCCATGAGACTCCTACCTCCAATTAACCATTCAAAAACCAGAAGTGGAACTATGGCTCAAAGTGGTAAGAGTAGTAGCCTTGAGCAAAAAAGCTAAGAGACAACACCCACACCCAGTTCAAGCTCCACAACTAACAAAAAACAAAAACAAAAACAAAAAAAGTTATGCAATGAATTAGACATTTATGAAAGAATAGGATAATGGAAATTCCTAAATGACAAAGCACCTGATTGTCTCACACTCTATAAAGAACTACAGGATGCAGGCAATCCAGATAGAAGAAACAACAAGCACAAAAACTTGAGAGGTATGATTTCAGGCCTGCTTCCCTCTCAAAATTCATTTTGGCTAGGGGTTTAACTCAATGTCTACAATGTCTACCATGCCTAAGACCCTGAGTTTGATTCCTGGCACTGCAAAAAAAGAACCAAAACCCATTTGTGTCTTGACTGACTAGCCTCCAATGACTGGCCTTTTATCAATTCAATATAAAAACCAAACTCTCTGGGCTGGGAAGGTGGCTCAGTGGTAGAGTGCTTGCCTTGCATGCATGAGGCCCTGAGTTCGATTCCTCAGCACCACATAAGCAGAAAAAGCAGGAAGTGGTTCAAAGCCAGCACAGGCAGGAAAGTCCTTGAAACTCTTGTCTCCAATAAACCACCAGAAAACCGGAAGTGGTGCTGTGGCTCAAGTGGTAGAGTGCTAGCCTTGAGCTGAAGAGCTGAGGGAGAGTGCCCAGGCCCAGAGTTCAGGCCCCACAACCGGACCCAAAAAAAAAAAAGTAATCATACATATTTGTGTGACAGCTCTGTAAGTACTTGTCCATTCCACTGGAGTCAAAAGTTTCATAGTGCAAGACAGCCTGTTTCGTTTCCACTAATGAAACCAAGCCTTACTCCTTGAAGCGTACTTACACTGGATTCTGCTGGGGCCGAAGGGAGGGCAAGCTTCCCAGGCCCTTCTCCCACGCAGTCACAGCCATAGCAATCTCTTCCTCAGATAGGGTAGCTAGCTCTTCCTCCTATAAAGAGTGGGTGGAATCCCTTATCAGATGAGGAGGGCCTACAGAATAAAGACACTCCCTCCTTGCTCTTCAATAACTAAAAAGTTAGTGACCTTGCACAATGTCTGCCTCCTAGTCCCTTCTACTTCAAGCTCAAGGTTCTGTAAGGCCACCCTGCCCTGTTCCCTACCTCAGGCTCATTGCTGACCACCTTCCCCTCAGATGGGTGGGCCTGGGGCTGCTTCTGGAGGTAGGATCGAAGAGCCAAGACACCCTGCTGTTTCAGCACAGTCTCTACAGCTCGCTGACATGGCTCCTGGGTACTCAGTGTCTGGAACCAGCTGCGCAAGGCGCCTAGCTCCTCTGTGACATGGGAAAACATGAGAATTAACAAGCATTAGGGACCTGGATTGAGAAGACAGGAGGTTTCTGCAGTTGCTTTCCCCAATTACCATAGTCTCCTTCAAGGCTGTCCTGTCAAACTGCACCTTGAAGAGGGGCCTCAATATTCTATTGACTGCTTTATAATTACTACAGTGAGCTCAAGAAGTTGAAGCTGGGTATAAAGTGATATGTACAGTTCTCACCAGGGAGGTAGGTTGGGTCTTGCAGCAATGGGTATAGTGCTCCCCACAAAACAATATCAGCTAGAGATTCTGTCTCCTGGTTGCAGGAAAAAAAAAAGAAAGGTACAGAAGAGGGACTCAGTTCTTTCCCAGTGCTAATATCTGTTTACCAAGTACTCAAGTGTCAAATAATGGGTTAAGCAATTTGTTTGTTTTTATTTTTTGCCAGTCCTGGGGCTTGAACTCAGGTCCTGGGCACTGTCCCTGAGGTTCTTTTGCTCAAGGGTAGCTCTCTACCACTTGAGCCACAGCACCACTTCCAGCTTTTTCTGTGTATATGGTACTGAGAAATCAAACCCAGGGCTTTATGCATGCTAAGCAAGCACTCTACCACTAAGCCACATTCCCAGCCCCTTCTTTATTTTTTGCTGATACTAAAGCTTGCACTCAAGGCTTTGTGCTCTTGTTTTTTTTCACACACAACTACACTCTACCACTTGAGTCATGCCTTTACTTCTGTTTTTTTTTTGCTGGCTAACTACACATAATAGTCTCTCAGATTTGTCTTGCCTGGGCTAGTTTTCAACCTCAATTCTCAGATATCAGCTTCCTGAGTAGCTAGAATATTAGATGTGGGCTTTCTGTGCCTAGCCCTCTTAATCGTTATACCATAAGCCTTCCCTATAACCCATTTCAAGATCAACTTACCCCAGCCAGGAATGGACAGTTTTGATGACTCAAACTTTGGTCAATGTGAGTCAGGGCTTTCCGAAGTGGACCAAGAATATCTTCCCCCTTCTTGCCTTGGACCACTAAATAGTACAGGGCAGCAGACAAAGCTGGCTAAAACGCAGGGGACACAGGTCAGGATGGCCATGCAGAAGAAGAGCCTGCCTTAAATTCCTGATGCTTTAGTCCTACCTGCAGCTCTGTTGCCTCCCATTCCAGCCACTGATTGGTAAGATCATCTTGCTCCCAGCCAGATAACAGAAAGAAATATCTGCCCAAGGAGAAAATAGAAGTTAAAACTAGAGATGTTCACTTGTCTATCCCATCTCTCCCCTCTGGTTGTAAATAAGGTAAGGAGTTGCAAAGGACAATGAAGCCTCTTCTGATCTGGCTACCTCCCCACATCAAAGACCAATACTGACCGGCAGATTGCAGTAGTAGAGAAGAGGTAGTTGCCACTATCCAGCTGCAAAACAGGGACCTTAGGCCTGGTCAGGAACGGGACCACACACTCTGATAAAGGGCGAAAAAGAATGAAGAATAGGGAAATGAAGGGGGGGAAAATTGTCAACTTAGACCAACTTCACATTGTTCCAGAGAAAAATGAAGAAAGATGGGCGGTCTTAACCCAGAGGTCCTCGGATAGGACCACTGAAAGGGGGTGGGACCAGTATAAACTGAAGAGGCTAGCAGGTGTTCAGTTGAGACTGCCAGCTGGAAACAACAGATGGGAACTGCGGAGGGAAGAGACAGTAGCATTTGAGATAGTGCTGCAAATCAAGAAGTGGAACAACTGAAAGTAACCAGGATATATCGGGAATGATCGATCTGAAATCAGTGAGCGAACAAAATTAAGAAAGCTGCTTGGACTAACAAGAGAACCTTTTAAAAGCACCCAAACTTGGCTGGAAATGAAAAGAGGTAAACTGGAAAAAAAATGTGTGTGTGCAACGTAAGAGTTTTAAGAGGGGAAGGGCAGATGTCCTAAAATGATAAAGGAGTGGCTGAAGTGAAGGAGGTAGCTCTATAGCTGTGGCGGAATGTTGGAAAAGAAAGCGGGTTACTAGATTGAAACTGGAGCCTGGAAGACAAAAAGAGGGAAGGCTAGAAATAAGGGAAGATGACAGCAAGGGTAAGTAGAGGAAGCAACTGGTAAAGGGACAGGGAGGAAAGGGGATGGAGAGGCCAGGGATAAGGAGTAAAAAAAGATCGATGGGGGTTATAAAGGCCAAAGCTGGGGTTTGGCCAAGACAACTGCGGAGTGATCGCAGGGCGTGCTTCTGTCCCGCCTCCCTCATCTCCCGCTCACCAGCACTAGCTCGTATACCTTCCGGGCCTACAGTGCTGATGAGCAACTCTATTCTGCCCCGGACCCTCCCGGCTGCTGCCAGCACCGGCAGGCTCCCAGGGGTGCCCTCGCTCACAAACAGTCTCATTTCGCCGTGAATCCCACGCTGATGCAACCGGAACCGGCCTCCCGCCTCTGGGTTGAACAGCCACCGCGAGGCACCCTGGGAGATGGAGTTTCGTAGCATGCTGATGCCCATGCTCCGCGACCATGGGAAACTAAGTGTCCCATCATGCAATACGAGGCAACCGGAAAATCCTACCATAGAGGCGTGGAGGCTGGGGATGCGGTGCTAGCGCGACGCTTAGGGATGTCTAGTCTTAGGGCGTGGTGTGCTTTTAAGGTCTAACTGCTAGACGGCGTGCTGCATTTCTTTTATCTTCTTTGGCTGCTAGACTCGGGATTCTGAAGTTGCCGGGATGACAGAGACTACTCACAGTTACCGGAATCTTGATTTAAGTTCTTAGGGATCAGTTTTTTTGGAGACGGGAATTCAGAACCAACTTATTTTAGTGACCAAATGGAAATTAGTGTATTCTACCAACTAAAAAGAATGTGACAAATTAAAATATAATTTTTTTTTTTTGGGTCCGGTCGTGGGGCCTGAACTCTGGGCCTGGGCGCTGTCCCTCAGCTCTTCAGCTCAAGGCTAAGAGCTCTACCACTTGAGCCACAGCGCCACTTCCGGCTTTTTTCTTTTTGCTTATGTGGTGCTGAGGAATCGAACCCAGGGCCTCGAGCATGCAAGGCAAGCGCTCTACCACTGAGCCACCTTCCCAGCCCCAGAAATTAAAATATTTAACCACAGCCTGCAGCTTTACATACAGCTAGACAATCCTATCAAAGGGAGAAGAGGGTATCTGTAAGGAAAAGGTCAAGTTGAGGGGAAGAAAGATAAGTTTCATAATAATCATGATTGTTCAAGGAAGCACATATTCCTAATTGAGAAAGGGACTTTTTCATTCATCTCTGAATCCCTTTAAGATGTAATCCTAGCTACTTAAGAGGCTGAGATCTGATGGAAGTGGCGCTGTAGCTCAAGTGGTAGAGCGCTCGCCTTGAGCTGAAGAGCTGAGGGACAGCGCCCAGGCCCAGAGTTCAAGCCCCACGACCGACAAAAAAAAAAAAGAAGCTCAGGGACAGTGCTCAGGCCCTGAGTTCAAGTCCCAAGACTGGAAGAAAAGAGGCTGAGATCTGAGGGTCACCGTTCAAACCCAGCCAGGCAGGAAAAAAACGTCCTGGAGACTCTTATCTCCAATTAACCATCAGAAAACTGGAAGTAGAGCTGTGGCTTAAAGTGATAGAGCATTGGCCTTGAGTGAAAAACCTCAGCTTCAGGCTGAAAATGTGGCTCAGTGGTAGAGTGCTTGCCTAGCATGCATAAAGCCCTGGGTTTGATTCCTCAGTACCACATGAACAGAAAAAGCTGGAAGTAGCACTATGTCTCAGTGGTAGAATGCTAGTCTTGAGCAGAAGCTCAGGAATGGTGCTCAGGCCCTGAGTTCTGTTAGGTTCACCCTGGGAAGGTGAGGCAAGTTAGCACATGGTTTAAATATGAATGAATGAACCTGTGATCTAAGCCTCGTCTTGTAATTGTGGATTAATGTCAGCATTGATCAGCCCCTTCAAATGGAGGAAAAAGCTGGGCCTTTTCCCTGCTGTACCACGTTCAGCATTTGATTTCCATGGGCACCACCATTTATGTGTAAAATTTGAAATGGTTGTCACCTCTCTGGGGAGAGCGTGAAACCTCTGAGACGCCAGCTGTGGTTGGAGATTCAGCACCCAAGCATGAGTCAGGAGAGAAGCTGACTGGACTGGCTAGAGATGAGGACCACTGGACTCTCTTGCAAAGGGGTTGCTCCCCCCCCCCCCCAGAAACACTTGAACAATGGGGACATTATTGGTTGCCTGTTTGGGAGATGTTCTTTTCTTCTATTTATAAGTGACTTTAAACTTTCCCTTGGCTCTTAAGAAATTTGTTCTAGATTTAGCTATTTATTGTTGGATGCCTGTATGCTGAAACAGTGCTTACTGTTGTCTTTACTTATATGGATCTGTGAGAATGGTTGTATGTTTTGCACACTTTGTGGTTGTTCAGATGGTCTTTGCTATACAAAAATGAAAATGTTGGTGTTAGAATTTGGAGTATTACTGGAGGGTAGGAGGGGCTGGGATTTTGGAAGTGCAAGATAGGAAAAAATATAAGACAAGAAAGTTAATGCCGATGGGCTGGGAAGGTGGCTCAGTGGTAGAGCGCTTGCCTTGCAAGCCTCAGACCCTGGGTTCGATTCCTCAGCACCATATAAGCAAAAAAAGAAAAAAGCCGGAAGTGGTGCTGTGGCTCAAGTGGTAGAGTGCTAGCCTTGAGCTGAAGAGCTTAGGGACAGCGCCCAGGCCCAGAGTTCAAGCCCCATAACTGGACCCAAAAAAAAAAAGAAAGAAAGTTAATGCCGGGCGCTGGTGGCTCACGCCTGTAATCCTAGCTGCTTAGGAGGCTGAGATCTGAGGATCGCGGTTCAAAGCCAGCCCGGGCAGGAGAGACCATGAGACTCTTATCTCCAATAAACCACCAGGAAACTGGAAGTGGCGCTGTAGCTCAAGTGGTAGAGCGTTCGCCTTGAGCTGAAGAGCTGAGGGACAGTGCCCAGGCCCAGAGTTCAAGCCCCACGACCGACCAAAAAAAAAAAAGTTAAATTGCATCCCAAAGGCAGAGAAAACAGTCGGGGGTCACTTTTCATGGACTGTACACCTTTTAATGGAATTTCAAGGGATAAGGTCACACGGATGGCTGATGTGATGAGAGAGGAATATTCTCTTGGCCCTTCTTCTCCTCTGATTTACCAAACTTTAGTCTCAGTGTCTGAGGTATGGGAAGGACCAAATTGCCTGACAGCTTTGTTTTTTGTTTTTGTTTTTGCTTTTGTTTGTTGGTTGTGTGGCCTAAACTCTGGGCCTGGGCACTGTCCCTCAGCTCTTCAGCTCAAGGCTAGTGTTCTACCACTTGAGCCACAGAGTCACTTTTGGCTTTTTCCGGTTTATGTAATGCTGGGAATCAAATTCAGGGCCTCATGCATGCAAGGCAAGCATTCTGCCACTGAGCCACCTTCCTAACCCCTGTTTTATTTTTTTATTTATTGTAATATCCTGAAATCCTGGAAAATTCTATGGAATCGTTCTGTATATAGGGCACAGATAAAGACATTGTCCAAAGTTTTATTTATTTATTTATTACCCTTATGTGAATATTTTGCTGTAATCACAGTGAATACTAAAAGTATTGCAGGCACAAATTAATAATGCATTGATCACGTTTGCTTGTTCTGGCTATTCTAAGACTTAGCAAAGTGTTAGAAAAACAGGAAAAGGGGCTGGGAAGGTGGCTCAGTGGTAAGAGTACTTGCCTCACATGCATGAGGCACTAGATTCAATTCCTCAGCACCACATAAACAGAAAAAAGCTGGGTGGCACTGTAGCTCAAGTGGTAGCATGCTAGCCTTGAGCTGAAGAGCTGGGAGACAGGGCCCAGGCCCAGAGTTCAGGCCCCACAACCAACCAAAACAAAAAGAAAAGAAAGAAAAAGAAAATCAAGAAAACATTTATGTTGTGACAGTGAACACTTTCATGCTGAAACCTAGTTAAATGGTGAAAAAAAGATTATTTGGTAGATAAAAGTAATAGATTCGGTCACAAAATACCAAAGAATCATAAACTGTGGCTCATGAAGAGATTTTCTGGTCCTGTTGGGAATCAATTGTGAATATTATTCTTTGCTCTTTGGAGTGCTTGGTCAGTGTCCTGTGGTAGGGTTAGTGTTAGTAGGTGCTTCTTTGGGTGTTGGGGGAAGAGTAGTTTACAACTGCTTTGGTCTTTGTAGAAAATAGGTTTAAGTAGGAAAGGGGAGGGGAGAAGATGTGGCCAGGTGATGGAGAGTGGCCACACTGGATGAGGATGTGACCTCAGGGCCTGGGACCTTCCCCTGGTCTGATGGGGGAGGGGGTGGGAAAGGCCCAGGATGTGACCTCCAGGTGTGCTAGTTACCTAGGTGACACAGGTATTGGGCAGAGACTTAGTCAAGAGGAGGGAGGAGCCTGCCTGGCCTTCCTAAGGTGAACCTTACAAGTTCAAGCCCAGGACTGGCAAAAAAATAAAAATAAAAAATCACTGAAACAGCCCCAAGCCCTGAGTTCAAGCTCCATGACTACCTGCCCCCCCCCCACAAAAAAAAGTGGTGGTTGTTAACACAAAAGAAACAGTTAAGAAGCATGCAGGTGGCTCATACTTGCATTCCTAGCTATTCATGAGATTGAGATCTGAGGATCTCAGTTTGAAGCCAACCCCAGCAAGAAAGTCTGTTAGACTCTTATCTCCAGTTAATCACCCAAAAACGAAGTAGAGCTGTGGCTCAACGTAGTAGAGCACTAACCCTGAGCAAAAGACCTCAGGGAGAACACCTAGGCCCTGAGTTAGAGCCCCACAACCTCCCCCCCATCCTCCTCCCCATACACACAAAGAAACAGTTTTAAGGTAGGTTTTCTCATTTCACCAAGGAGGGAACCAAGAAGCCCTGAGAAGTTACACTGTGTTAGGAATCACATACAAGGCATTGAAGATGCTAACAGATACTGGCTTCTACATTAGAGTACTCATAGACTTCCTGGAAGTCAGAAAATCAAATCATCTTTTAAGTTTGATGGCAGATATGAAAAGTGTCACAAAAGCTCTACGTTGCTGGGCACTGGTGGTTCACACCTACTCAGGAGGCTGAGATAGGAGGATCACAGTTCAAAGTCAGCCCTGGGAAAGAAAGTCTGTGAGACTCTAATAAACCACCAGAAAACGGGAAGTGGCACTGTGGCTCAAGTGGTAGAGCACTAGCCTTGAGTTCAAGCCCCATGACCAACAACAACAAAAAAAAAGCTCTAAGTTAAGACCCTTCTCAGGGCTAAGAGAACTTCTTATGCAAATGACCTTTTCAGCTGAGATCTAGGTGAGGCAGAGAATGGAGACGGGAAGTATTTCAGACAGAGAGAATAACATGTGCAGAGGGTTAGGAATGAGAGGAATTAATATAAAGTTTCTGGTGGAGGCTGTGAAAGGGCTAGGAAGGAAAGAAAAGTCTCTGTAAATTACATGGTAAAATTTGGGCTTTACTCTTAGGGCAGTAAGAAGCCTTTGGAAAGTTTAAATCAGTGGAGTGGCAGGGCACATTTGTATTTAGATCACTGTGAGGAGTCTATCAAGGAGGCACATGCCTATAATTCCAGCACTTGGGAGGCTTCAGCAAGAGGACTGAGGAAAGTCAGGCTAGTTAGTGAGACTTGTCTCAGAAGAAAAAAAGAAGTCACTGTGACAAAAGGACTCATCAGGAGGGTAAATCATCCACACTAAGCCAGATGCCAGGGGCTCACACCTATAATTCTACCTTCTCAGGAGGCTGAGATATGAGAATCACAATTTGAAGCCAGCCCCAGGTAAAAATGTCCTTGAGACTCTTTTTTTTTTTTTTGGTGGGTTGTGAGGCTCCAACTCTGGGCTTGGGTGCTATCCTGGTGCTCTTCGGCTCAAGGCAAGCACTCCAACACTTGAGCACAGCACCACTTCCGGTTTTCTAGTGCTTTTTAATTGGAGATAAGAGTCTCATGGCCTTTCCTGTCCAGACTGGCTTTGAACTGTGATCCTCAGGTCTCAGCCTCCTGAGTAGCTAGGATTATAGGCAAGAGCTACCAGCACCTGGCCCTTGAGACTCTTATTAACTACTAAAAACTAGAAGTGGTGCTGTGGCTCAAGTTGTAGAGCACTAACCTTAAGCAAAAAAGCTCGGAGACAGACCCTGCCAGGCACTGGTGGCTCATGCCTTTAATCTTAGCTTCTCAGGAGACTGAGATCTGAGCACGGCAGTTCAAAGCTAGCCCAGGCAGGAAAGTCTGTGAGATTCTATATCCAATTAACTACCAGAAAACCAAAAAATCAGAAGTGGAGCTATGGCTTAAAGTAGTAGAGAGCTAGCCTTGAGCAAAAATACTCAGGGACAGCATCCAGGCCCCTACAACAGCCAAAAATAAATAAATAAAGTAAGAGACTGTGTTTGAAAAATTACTAAAAGCAGCCAAGACCAATGGCTCAAGTCTGTAATCTTAGTTATTTGGGAAGCAGGGATTAGAGGATAAAGGTCTGAGGCCAATCTGTGCACGAAAGCTCATGAGACTTCATTTCAACTAATGGCTTAGCACAGTAGTGGGCATCTATTACTTAGCTATGATGAAGCACAATGGCTAGGTGCTATGAGTCACCTTGTCACCCAAAGGGACAAAGGAAAGTACAAGTGGGAAGATCACAAACCTGGTCTGGCCCAGGCATAAAACAAAACCCTATCTTGAAAATAACCAATGCAAGAAGGAGTGGAGACGTGGCTCAAATGGTAAGGCACCTGCCTAGCAAGTGGAAGGCCATGAACTCAAACCCCTATACCACCACCACCAAAAAAAAAGTGAATGGGAATGAGGCAATGAGGAGAAGCTAAAGTGCAGAGAGCTAGCTCCAGAAAGGCACAAGAAGATGAGTTTGAACACTTAAGCACTAGATGGGGCTGGGTACAATTCAGTGTAGAGCACTTGCCACAGATTCCATCTTCAGCACTGAATAAGATAAATAATAATCTTAAAAGCACTAAATGAATGAATGAAGTTAATCATTTTGTTGAAGAGTTGCTGGGTGCTGGTGGTTCATACCTGTAATCCTATCTGCTCAAAAGTCTGAGATCTAAGGATCACAGTTTGAAGCCAGATATGGCAACCAAGTCTGTTACACTCTTATCTCCAATTAACTAACAAAAAGCTGGAAGTGGAGCTGTAGCTCAAATGGTAAACATCAATATTGAATGAAAAAAACTAAGGGACAGCATCCAGGTCCTGAGTTCAAGCCCCAGCTCAGGTATGAAAAAAAAAAAAAAAAAAAAGCTTGGTGCTGATGGCTCATGCCTGTAACCCTAGCTACTTAGTAGGCTGAGATCTGAGGATTAAAGCTAGCCTCGGCAGGAAAATCCGTGAGACTCTTATTTCCAATGAACTATCAGAAAACTGGAAGTGGCTCTGTGGCTCAAGTGGTAGAGCGCTAGCCTTGAGCTGAAGAGTTCAGGGACAGCACGACCATCAAAAAAAAGAAAAAGAAGTTGATGGGAGAGTTCTTCTTGTCATGATACTTAAGCAAGGTAAGCAGGTAGATCATAGAGATGGGAGCCCAGCATTGATTCCCCTAGTCCTCAGATCATCTCAGGGGAGGGAAGTTGACTGCTGTCACCAGAGGGAAGGAGTACTCCCTCCCTCCACAAGAAACATCATGTCTCATGCTAGGAAGTGGAAGGAGAAGGGGAGAGAGGAGTGGTCAGGAGGTGTGGATATTAAATTAGCAACACAAGGGAGGGTCGCTCCCACCATCTACCAGGGAGAAGATGACTTGGTCCCCTAACTGCCTGCAATAGTGTCAAGTACTACTTATGCAGAATATCTAATTCCACTGTAATTAGTGAGTTAGCTGTGTCATCAGTTAAGGTCTGTCTTTCCTTCACCTCCACAAATGTTCCTTCTTGTCTCACATCCCTAGTGCTCTTTGCACACAGGGGGTGCCCAATCAGTCCTTGTAAAGAGTGTGAACAACTGAAATTGTGAACACTCTAAAATTGTGTAGTCCCTCCAATATACTGATGTAAGAATGATCAAGGTTTTTAGCTCCCAAAAATATGTCCTAAGGAGGGAGGAAAGTGATATATCAACTCTGAACCCCTCTGTACTTGTCACAGACACTTTCTTTCTCTCGTTGGTCTGTTTCTGTCTTTACATACAGGAAGTATGCAAACTTTAGGTTTGAGACAATCAGTAATGGAAATATTGATGCCTATGCAACTTTAATAAAGAGTCACAAACTTTCTGTCATTACTTCTCGTACCTTTTCCTATGTTCTTATGTTAGACTGACCTGATTCTTCCTCCTCATCTCCTTCTGTGTCCAGCTCAAGACACCCATCAGTACCCAGGACCAACTTCTTCTACCCCCAGATCTTCAAATGGGCTTCATCAGGTACTTGGAGGAAAATTACCAAGCTAGGCCATCTTCTCTGATTTCCTGCCTTGCTGGCCTTACAGCCCTACTGACCACATCCTCTCTCACCTTACTTGTATACTTCCTCACTAGACACTGTACCCAGGACTTCTCAGCCCCCCAAAGCGCCACTAATCTCTGCAAAGGGCTTCTGCCTCAACCTAGAGGCTCCACTCTTCTCCCTCTCCCTCCCGTCCCTACCCCTCACTGCTGCGCTAAACTATGACTCTCTTCCTGAAGGCAGCCAATCCTATTACTTCCTAGATCTCCAACACTCCTTTTCCCCACAGGTAACAGTGCTGACCACGATGCTATCAGGCCGGTGGTGGCCAAGTACCTGGGGAAGTCTAGGGCTTGGGTCCCAAAACTCACCTCAAGGATCTCAGCTCTGTGCCCTCTACGCCTTTAAGTATACTGGAACAGATGGCCGGCAGGTGTCTCTAGCTGAAGGTGACAGGTTTCTACTGCTTCAAAAAACCAACTCGGACTGGTGGTTGGCAAGACGAGTAGGAGCCCCCACCACCTCCCGACCCATCTTTGTCCCTGCTGCCTACATGACAGAAGAACCCATTCCTTCCCAGAGCCCAACTATTGTTACTTCTAGCCAATCCCTCTGGACCACTGGTGAGTAAGCTGTCAGTCCTTCCCATCTTCTTCCTGTTTTCCTGGCTTTAGGGAGGGGATCCCCTTCACACCCCCTTTGCCTGCTTGAACTCTGGGCCTGGGTGCTATCTCCTTTTGCTCAAGGCTAGCACTCTATCACTTGAGCCACACACCACTTCCTGCTTTTTCTGTGATTAGTTGGATTGCCAGGGCTGGCTTCCAACCATGATCCTCAGATCTCAGCCTCCTGAGTAGCTAAGATTACAGGCTTGAGCTACCAGCACCTGGCTTGATCGGCCTACCCCTTCATCACAACCAGGTAGTCTCCTTTCCCATTGCCTTCCCTCCTAGTCTCAATCCATCTAGTTAAAATGTCACTTTTCTACACCATTCCCCTATCTTCCCTCAAGGTTCAAGCCAAGATCATACCTCTAGTCACCTGCTCCTCCCACTTCATTTCTCTGTTTTTAGGGCCAAAGTTATTTCATGGCTCCCTAAAGGAGCTCCGCCCATCTCCAGTTCCCCAGGCTACATCTGTGCATCCTCCTCCCCTACCCACCAAAATCTATAGAAGTGTCAGTGTTGCCAATTTGAGGCCTAGCCTCCTGCAGCCCCTCGAGGAAGAACCAAGTGAAAGAGCCCTCTCCCAGAAACACTTACTGACAGAGGCTGATGCCAACCTGGTGAGTCACAGCTCTCCTTCTGAGTATGGACAGTCAACAGACCTAACAGCTGGGCTTTGTTCTGGGTGGCAAATAGCAGCCTTGCCTTCAAGAAGTGGGGTGTGTGTGTGTGTGTGTGTATGTGTGTAACATAATAGGACAACTTTCAGTGATTTATGCTGATAAGCACTACAAAGGAGAGTTAATGTGGTGGGGGGGGGGGGATTGGAGGGAATTGAACACAGAGGAGGAAGAGGGAGCCATAGCAAACTAAGAGATGACAATCAAGTAGCAAAGTAGTAAGTAGCAAAGGCTCTGAGTGGACAGGGAACTTCACATAATCAAAGGGCTGAAAGAGACCAACAAGAGCCCTGCTTTTTCTTCCTTCCTCCAGAATCCTAGCCCAGGGCAGAATCTCTCCCCAACCCCCCATCCCCTGTCTTGCCAGCTGGGACACCAGCAAGTACCCCTTAGGAAAAAAAACACCATTGCAAGCCCCTCCCCTTTCTGCTTTCTTGCTAGTGGATGGAAAATGGCCTCTTCTCCCCTATAGTCCCTAGCAAGGGTCTTTTTACACCGTTCTGTTGTCTTTCACTCTGCAGGATGTGAGGGTGGGGCTCTCCGATCACTGCCTCCCCCCTCAAAAAAAAAAAAGCCTGTTCCCCTTTCCTGTGGTAGTGGGGCGGGGTGCAGGAGGAGGGAAGTTGGCAACAGGAAGTGAGGAGAAAAGCAAAGACTGTGAGGGCAAGAATTTTTATAAAGCAACTGGGGTTCTGGGGTTCCTCCCCCTGTGCATGGGTCACCCTGTCCCAGAGCTGGTGGTAAGAAATGCTGGGGACTGGGCAGAGAAAGTGGGGAGGAGAAGGGCACAGGAAGGATAATCACCTCTGTCTGTTTTTCTTTCTTGGCAGGTGGAACCCCAGCCCCTCATGTCAGAGAACCCAGTGTACTGTAATCTAGTGGACCTTCGCCGCTGTTCTAGGTCTCCACCCCCAGACCCTGCATGCCCCCCATTGCAGAGGCTGGACGCCTGGGAGCAGCACTTAGATCTCAACTCCGGACGTTGCTTTTACATAAATTCACTGACTGGCTGCAAGTCCTGGAAGCCCCCACGCCTGAGTCGCATCAGAGAAGAGGTGAGACCTTCTCTCCTGCTTGTCTCATTGTCTCCTCAATATCCTTTTTCCTACTAAGCTCCAAGGTAGTGTGCTTTGTCCCTGGGACTCACAGGAGGATCGGAAAAATTGGCAAATTGTGTGAAGGGTGAGAGCCTGTTGAGGGGAAGTATGTGTATAGTTGTGTATGCCTCCCCTAGACTCAGAACCCTGGCTCCATGGAGGGGACACACAGCTTGAATAGTGACAATGGTGTCCTGCAACCTGAGGTGAAGGGCTCAGGATCTACCACAGGGACCCTGGAATGGCTCCACCCACAGGTAAGACTCCCCTACAACCCTCCCAGTCACACGCAGGAAAAAACCCCAAATTAGATGCCAGGAAACAGAAACAAAAAAGAAATGCATGATTTTCTCTTTTATATAAGATGTTCTTCCTTACCCCCTACTCCCTCTGCCACTCACCCACATCAGCACTTCTCTTTGGGACCCCCCCCAAAAAAATTGAAGGCTCTTCTACCAACCAGTTTCTTCAATCTCTCACCTTTCCAGGATTCACTCTGTCTCAGCCAGCGCACCTCCCGGGTGTCTCTGTCAGGACCACTTCCAGCCTCACAGACCCCTCGAGCTCTCCCAGAGCTTCTGGATGACCCCCATGTGAGTCTCCCTTGTCAGCTGAATTGTAAAAATCCTTCCTGCCCCGCCCCAGTTCCCCGCTCCTCAAAGACATCTTCCTCTTTCTGGATATTCTTCTTATCCACCCCCCTCAATTCAGGGAGATCCTGTGGGAGGCTGTGGGCCACCCCAGGTGGGGTGGCTTGCTAACAACACCCACTCCCTCCCTTTCCCAGGAAGTAGAAAAGTCTGGCCTGCTCAATATGACCAAGATTGCTCAAGGGGGGCGCAAGCTCAGGTAAGGAAGACTCAAAATACACTAGGGATCTGGGCTATTGCATTCTGTAGGGTAAAGCAAGGTGCTGGGGAGTTCACTCAGTGTGTGATCCTTGAATGACTTTATCACAACCTTTACCGCTCCACCCTTGCCCCTGCAGGAAAAACTGGGGCCAGTCTTGGGTGGTGCTAGCAGGTAACAGCCTGATGTTCTATCGGGAGCCGCCGCCACCAACTGCGCCCTCCCCAGGCTGGGTGAGTGTGATCTTGGACGCCCGAGGTGGAGGGTAGGGTCAGGCCCACCGAGATGGCGATGGCTATGGTGATGGAAAGGAAGGGAAAGGAATGAGGAAGCATCTCACCAACAGAAACTCGCCCGTGACGGGGGAGCAATGAAACAACCAAACCCTGTGGCCTCAGTTTCTCCTCTAATTGCCAGGCACCAGCGGGAAGCCGACCCGAAAGTAGCGTGGACCTGCGCGGGGCGGCCCTGGCGCACGGGCGCCACCTCTCCAGTCGCCGCAACGTCCTGCACGTGAGTGCACGCCCGCGCCTCTCCAATCCCCACCCGACCACAGGGCGCGCACCCATCTTCCTCCCTGCTTTTGAGGCTCCTTCCTTCTGAATCAAGCCTTCCCCTCTCCTCCCCGCCTCCCCGCCCCCCCCCCCCCCCCGCACCTCCTTAGATCCGTACCGTCCCTGGCCACGAGTTCCTGCTGCAATCGGACCAAGAGAGCGAGCTGCGTGCCTGGCACCGTGCGCTGCGGGCAGTCATCGAACGGCTGGTTAGATGGGTGGGAGAGGCTTGGGTCTGCGGCCGGAGGGCGGGTGGGGGGTGAGGCGGGTAGACAGAGACCCAGGGAGTGGGGGTAGAACAATGGGAATCTGGGAAGCTGCGAGGTCTCCGTGTACAACTGTGGCCCTGGGTGGGGCTTGTGATAGGAGATCCCGACCGCAGTTTGGGATTCTCCTCCTGTGTCCAGCAGGGAGTGTGCAGCTTGCTTGCTTTCCTCTACCAACTTCTAACACAGCTTTCCCGCCCCCTTCCCGTCCCCGGCCCCATCCGCGTCTAGGATCGTGAGAATCCCTTGGAGCTGCGCCTGTCCGGCTCCGGTCCGGCAGAGCTGGCGCAGCTGAGTGCCGGGGAGGATGAAGAAGAGGAGTCGGAGCCGGTGACCAAGCCACTGCTGCGGCTCAGCGGCCTCAGGAGCTCCAGTATGGAGCCGCGGGGGTGGGGGTGGGGCGGGGAGGGCGGGGCGTGAGGGGAACAGGGCGGGGGGGGGGGGGGTGCAATGCTCTGACAGGCTGGTGCTGCTGCTGGTGCTCGCTTACTTTCCTGGCCTCCTCCTGCACACAGGACGGTGTCCTGAAGGCACAGAGCAGAACCGTGTGCGGAACAAGCTCAAGCGGCTTATCGCCAAGAGACCTCCCTTGCAAAGCCTTCAGGAGCGGGGTCTTCTCCGAGGTGAGGTGGTCCAGGGCTGCCTTAGGCTCTGCTATTTATTTATTTATTTATTTATTGTTGGTTGTGGGTCTTGAACTCTGGGCCTGGGCACTGTCCCTGAGCTTCTCTTGCTCAAGGCTAGCACTCGACCACTTGAGCCACAGCACCACTTCTGGCTTTTTCTGTTTATGTGGCGCTGAGGATTCCAACCAAGGCCTCATGCATGAGAGGCAAGCACTCTACCACTCAGCCACTTTCCTAGCCCAGCTCTGCTCTTTATAATATTTTGGCAAGCTCTCTTTTCATTTCTGATCTAAGCATTAGTCCATTTCCTGATGAGGTTCAAAGCAGAGCTTTCTAGAGGTAGATCACAATCTTATGAGACTCTTGTTCTCCCTACTACTGATTGCTTGGGTTGGGGGCAGGGGAAATGCTTTCTTGAGGTCCCCTGCCCCATAGCTGGAGTGCCAGTCTCACTTGGAGGTGACCAGCCTATGCTGAGAAGAGCTTCTTTAGTGAGGTAGCACTGGGCCTCACACACCTCTGTTACCTCCCCAGACCAGGTATTTGGCTGCCAGTTGGAATCATTGTGTCAACGGGAAGGGGACACCGTGCCCAGCTTTGTGAGGCTCTGCATTGCTGCGGTAGATAAAAGAGGTCATTTTTCCTAAAGTCTCTAGAATCTCCCACTTCCAATAAACCAAGGCCCAGAATTCTCACCTCCCTGGTCCTTGTCTTCCCATGGTCTCTTTCTTTCTTGGATCTCTTACTAGCCCTTGTTCTACATGCTTCAGAACAGGAGCCCTTATCTGCCCCCTGCCTTATTGCTTAGGTCTAGATGTAGATGGAATTTACCGGGTAAGCGGGAACTTGGCTGTGGTCCAGAAACTTCGTTTCCTGGTGGACAGAGGTAAGAAGGTGTGTGGGCGAGCAGTGGTGCTAAGAGCTTCATACCACCTCAGAATTATATGGGGTGGGGGTTGAACTCAGGGCCTCAGTTGGTGAGGTGACATTCTAACCCTTAAGCCATACTTTCACTTCTAGCTTTTTGCTGGTTAGTTGGAAATATGAGTCTCATGAACTTTTCTGCCCAGGCTGGCTTTGAACTGTGATCCCCAGATCTCAGCCTCCTGAGTAGCTAGGTTTACAGGTGTGAGTCATGCTGCATAATTGAAGTGGTTGTGAGGGAAGGAGTTGGGATACTGTTTCTGCCTAGAACTTCTTGTTTTAGCTCCTGATCTTTTCTTATTCATGTTGCAGAGCGGGCAGTCACCTCTGATGGGAGGTATATGTTCCCAGAACATCCAGGACAAGGTACTTACAAGGCCCCTCTGACCCCTAAAATCTCTCCATAGTCCTGTCTGTGGACTCCATGATTTTCCTCAGGTCCCACTCCTGAGAAGGTTGTCCCCATCCCTATATTTGCTGTTTTGTCCCCCTTTGGACAGAACCCACAGTCATTCCAGACTCTACTCAGTCTCTAGATCTTTGCAGCCCTTCATGAGCTCTGAATCCACTGAACTTCTTTTCCCTCCAGAAAGTCGATTAGACTTGGACAGTGCTGAATGGGATGACATTCATGTGGTCACTGGAGCCCTGAAGCTCTTTCTCCGGGAACTGCCTCAACCTCTGGTGCCACCCTTGCTGCTGCCCCATTTCCGTGCTGCCCTCGGTAAGATTTGAGAGCTTGAGATATGGGGAAAATGTGAGTGGTAAGGAATAAAGCAGAGGTTCACTTCCATCCTGACCCAACTGCTAGAAAATAATTCATTTACCAACTTCAGTTTTTTATATTTGACTTTTAAGAATATTTACGGGGTTAGGTTAAAAAGAATTCTGAGGGCTGGGAAGGTGGCTCAGGGGTAGAGGACTTGCTTAGCATGCATGAAGCCCTAGGTTCGATTCCTCAGTACCATATAAACAGAAAAAGTCAGAAGTGGTGCTGTGGCTCAAGTGGTAGAGTGCTAGCCTCGAAAAAGAGAAGCTCAGGGACAGTGCCCAGGCCCCTGAGTTCAAGCCCCAGGACTGGCAAATAAATTAATTAATTAATAGAATTCTGAAGGTGTAGTTGGGCTTTATGAAAAATAAAGCTGGGGTTAGGGTATCTCTCAGTAGTAAGAACATGCTTACATGCTCAGGGCATGCTGGGTTCAGTCTCCAGCACTGACAAAAAGATGAAGGAAGGGGAAAGAGTTAAAGTATGATGGTGTGTGCCTGTAATCCAAGCTATTTAGGAGTAGAAGGCAGGAAGATTGAGGGTTTGAAGCTAGCCTGAATAAAGGTAGCAGTGAGATCATGTCTCAAAAACAAAATAATGGGCCAGCTGCAGGTAGCTCACACCTGTAATCTTAGCTATTCATAAGGCTGAGATCTCAGGATCGTGGTTTGAAGCCAGACCAGTCAGGAAAGTCCATGAGACTCTTATCTCCAATTAACCACCAAAAAAGCCAGAAGTGTGGAGCTGTGGCTTAAGTGGTAAAACACTAGCTTTGAGCACAAAAGCTAAGGGGCAGTGCCAAGACTCTGTGTTCAAGCCTCAGGACACACACACACACACACACACACACACACACAAAATGGGTTTGGCTTTGGCATAGTGGCACATGCCTGTAATCTCAGCACTGGGGAGGATGAAGCAGGAGTATTTCACATGCCAGGCTAGCTTCAGCTACATAGTGAAACCCTGTATCAAAAACTGACAAAAAGCTGGACACTGGTGGCTCACGCTTGTTATCCTAGCCACTCAGAAATCTGAGATCAGAGGATTGCAGTTCAAAGCCAGCTGGACAGGAAAGTCTGTCAGACTCCTTAACCACTAGAAACCCAGAAGTGGCACTGTGGCTCAAGTGGTAGAGTACTAGCCTTGAGCTGAAATGCTGAGGGACAGCGCCCAGGCCCAAAGTTCAAACCTCATGATTGACAAAAACAAAAACAAACAAAAAACCCTGACAAAAATAAAATAAGGGCTGGTAATGTGGCTCAGTGCTAGAGTGCTTGCCTAGTATGCATGAAGCCCTGCGTTAGATTCCTCAGTACCACATATACAAAAAAAAACAAAAAACAAAAAACCAGAAGTGGTGCTGTGGCTGAAGTGGTAGAGTATAGACTTAAGTACAGAGAGGCTTAGGGACAGAGCCAGGCCCTGAATTCAAGCCCCAGGACTGGGGAAAAAAAAAAGTGGTAAAGGTATGCTAGTATGTACATGGCCTTGGGTTCAATCCACATCACTAAAAGAGAAAAGCTGTTTTAGATAAATGATGTCTTTGACTCCATGAACATGAGTAGAGTAGCAGCCATGTCCTGGCACCTTCTCTAGTGTTAACACTCATGCCTTTCCCATCCTTCTTTATCTCTAGCACTCTCGGAATCAAAGCAGCGCCTTTCTCAAATACAAGAATTGATAGACACAATGCCAAAGCCTAACCATGATACTCTACGGTACCTCTTGGAGCATTTATGCAGGTCAGGAAGACTGAATCTTTGTTCATGCTGGGGAGACAGGAGTGGGGCCTACAGTAGGGACTCTGTTCAGATGGAATGGAGGTTGGGTAGCACCTAGATTTAGTGGGCAGGAGACATGTCAAAACCTTTGGAGAGCTCAGCATCAAATGAGACCAGGGATGTGTGAAGGGGATGCTTTTATCTACCATGGGAACAGTAGTAATGGCTTGATAGGTTGAACTGGCCATGGCAGTGACTTCTGATGGGAGATGGCCACTTAAATCAAAGCTTCCCAAGGTGTGAGCTGAAAGAACTCTAGGGGGCATTTCTCCTGCAGCTGAGAAAGAAGCAGGCTGTTATATTCCAAGTTGTGGCTTCAGGAGTTGTGAAGGAGTCTCTGCTGGTCCAGCTCTGTTCCCCTTGAGGCTCTTCAGCTGCCACATGAAAGAATCTACAATGAGCTTTTCCCTGCTCAAATCTTTTATGATTGGATTGGTTTGAAGTAAAGAGCTGCTCTCTAATTTCTCCTTTCTTTGGCCTTTGCCCCCAGGGTGATAGCACATTCAGATAAGAACCGCATGACCCCCCACAACCTGGGAATTGTGTTTGGACCAACCCTGTTTCGACCAGAGCAAGAGACATCTGACCTGGCAGCCCATGCACTCTACCCTGGGCAGCTGGTCCAGCTGTTGCTCACTGACTTCACCAGCCTCTTCCCCTGACTTGGGCAAGGAAGAAGAAACCATTGCCAGTGATCTGTTGGCTAGCCGTTGGTGTGTGTGTGTGTGTGTGTGTGTGTGTGTGTGTGTGTGTGTGTGTAGTGTTGTTTTGAGGACATTGTTAAACAGTCTCCCAAAGGACCCTCTTCAACTTTCTGAGTCTGACTCGATTTGGTTTGAATTGGATAAGGGAGCACTCTAAAGAGGAAAGTAGGAGAATGACCCCTATTTTTCTTCTTGGTCCTTCCCCAATATATCACATAAAAACAGCAGTCCTTTATGATGCAGTTCCTTTATTGTTAGGAAACAGTGTCATTATCAAATCCCTCCCCTAACATACACAGACTAAACACAGCCCCCAGCCCATCCCTCCCAGCCATGGGCATCTTACTCAGGGGGCTGTGGCCCTCCACCCTTCTCCTCTGGAAGGATGGGAGCCTCTTAGGAAGCACAATCTGATGGATAGACGCACAACCCTTTAGGCACTAGAATTGAGGAATTGTGTCTCTCCTGGTAGGGATCCCAGCAAGACACTCATGTTACCCACAGCCATGTTAGGAGGCCCAGAGGGAGGTGGGGTATGTTCTGAGCTACCTTCCTGATCGTGGGAAGGAGGAGGACTCAGTCCCTGGGCCTCATCCAGAATAGCCACAAAGTCCAGCTGAGTGTTGTCAAGATCAAGAGAGTCCAGAGGGTTACATACTTGCCCTTCAGGAGGAGGGTATAAGGCAGGACCCCCTCCCAGCCTGCCCACGTCAGGATGGCCACAGCTAGGGTTGGTGCCTCCTGCTTTAAGGGGTCCATAGCAAGTGGGCAATGGAGGCAGAAGCCGAGGCGGTGCCGCTGCCCTGTGTTGAGAAACCCTGTTTGTTCCCACTGTAAAATTTTCATGGCATGGCGAAGAGGTCGGGTAGGAGCCTACCTTATGATTGGGCAAGTTGGGTGCGAAGTCAGGTCCATATGTGGCCATTGGGGCTTTGGTAGCGCTTGGGGTAACTTGGGAACCCCCCAGAAATTTATGACTCTGGTAGGGAGGTTCCTGGATTGGGGCCTCTCCTCGGCCCCCACCCTCCCACAGTAGCTCTTGCTGGGATTGAACATAATTACAGACAAGTTGAGCCTTGAGCTGCCCTGTAGAATGAGAGGGGGAATCAAAATCTAGGCTTAACCTGGGTTCTGAAGGCAGATAATCAGGGGATGGTTGGGGATAGAGACCTGATTGGGGATATTGGGGAGGAGGGGGCTGGGGATAGTGGGAAAATGGAGGCTGAGAGCATGGGGAGCCCTCACTGGGGTGGGCATTGAGGCAGGCTGCCAGTCCTGTGGAGTCAGACCCCACTGGGCACCCTTGTTCTGGCTTGACCTGCACTTGTCCATAATGTTCAAGTCGAGGGCAGTGACTATAGGTTCCACTTGGAGTCTTGGTGCCTGGGTAAGGCCCAGAGTGGGAAGGAAGCTCACCCCATGAGTCTGTAGTGGGGTCAGGATAAGAGACCTGTTGGGGACAAGGGCTGGGGCCATAGTTGGTCGGTGGGCCAGAACCAAGGGGCAGGGAACCTGGACCTCTAGCTCCATAAGGCTCAGCTGCTGCTCCTTCAGGTCCACCATATCCCAGAGCATCAGCAGATGAGAAGTCCATATATGGGTTCAGACCACTGCCCATCATGGAAGTGCCAACCTCTGGCTCTTCCCGTAACCCTCTAGTATCCATTGCAACATTCTCATTGATGCTGGGAGGCTGTGGTGAGTAGACAGAAGTTGGGAGGTGGGGATCGAAGTTCCGTCCTCCAGTTGCCCCAATAGGAGGGGTGTGGACACAGCCCAGGCTCTTGAACCGCTGGACTCTAACTGGAGCAGGATGATCAGCAGCCCGGGCTGGGTCACTGGCCCTCCGGGTGACCCCTGCATTGGGATTGTATCCTGGGTACTCAGCTCGGCTTCTCCAAGGAGGTACAGGAAGACCTCCCATCCGATCCAGACTGGGTGCTGCAGTGGGTGGTGTACCACCCCCTCTGGCTGAAGAGTATCTTGCCCGAAGCAGATAGTGCTGGGCAGGTGTCAGGCCAGGCAGGGAGGATGTTCCATTCTCTGGTGGGGAGCCAGGGGGGAAAGGGGAAGCCAGAGAGGAGCGGCGACTAACAGTATATGCAGAGCTCATGCTACTGGAGCTGCTGCTGCGGTGGTCAAGAGAAACTGGGGGGCCCAGACGACGAGACACAGGGGTGCCTGCAGGTGGGGGAGGGAGAAAAGGCAGGTGGTCAGTGAGCCCTTTGGATCACCCTGTGCAACCTTGTCCTGATATAATCCCAAGCAAGGAGTCCTGGGATCCATTTTTTTTTTTTTTTTTTGCCAGTCTTGGGGCTTGAACTCAGGGCCTGGGCACTGTCCCTAAGTTTCTTTTTGCCCAAGGCTAGCACTCTATCACTTGAGCCACAGCGCCACTTCTGGCCTTTTCTATTTATGTGGTACTGAGGAATCAAATCCAGGGCTTCATGCATGCTAGGCAAGCACTCTACCATTAAGCCACATTCCCATCCCAGCCATTCAGTTCTGTCTCCTACATTTCCTATGCCTCTTCTGCTTCTGGGCCACCAGGGGAGATTCAAGGCCACTGTGAACAGTCATACAGGTGCTACACTGCACAATACTAGGGGATATAGCATGCACATTGTAGACTTCATTTATTTATATGTCACAATTTTCTTTTTCTTTCCTTTCTTTTCTTAGATATTGGGGGTTGAACCCAGGGCCTTATGTATGCTAGGCAACTACTCTACCACATAAGCAATGCTTCTCTTTTTGTCTTTATATATTTAGTTGTGGTGTATTGAATTCAGTGCCTCATGCTCTTACTCAACTTTCTCACGCATGGCTGGTTCTCTATCATTTGAGCCATGCCTCCAGTCAAGCATTTTGCTGGTTGGTTGGAGATGGAGTTGTGTCAACTTTTCTGCCTGGGCTGGCTTTGAACTGCAATCCTCCAGTCTCAGCCTCCTGAGTAATTAGGATTACAGACATGAGCTACTGCTGCCGAACTGGATTTTTTGTTTTGTTTTAATTTGGTATATGAGACAGAGACTCAATAACTTTTCCAGGGCTGGCCTGGAGTTCATGATCCACCTGCCTTTGCCTCCTTTTTATTTTTGGACAGGGTCTTGCTGTGTAGCTGGGGCTATCATTGATCTTACAATCTTCATGCTTCAGCCTCCCAAATTCTGGGATTACATGCATACAACCACCATACCTAGCTGATTATAACAAGGTTTTGTGTTGTTGAGGGAAAGAGGGGGCAATGCTAGGGATTGAACAAGCCCTCTATCAATGGTAGCCCCAGCCCTAGCCCCATATAACAATCTTACGATAGAGAGAAGAAAAAGATAGATGTCTTAAGAAGGCAGCCTCTACAGAAGTACCATCTAGCAGCCCTAAGGGTAACACCTCCTCCCAACCTCAGAACAAATCCACATCTCAGCCCAGTACCACCTCCTATACCCAGGTCTCACCAGTGTGGGTCAAGCTGGGCAGTTTGAGACCACGAGGCCCTAATGGCCGGAGCTGATGCAGCTGGTCCAGCCTGAGGTTCTCAAGACGACGAAGAGTGGATAATCCAGTGCCGGCAATGCAAGGCCCCTCATCCAAGCTGGACAGGTCCTCGGTGCTACCCCCTGTATTGCCAGTCATTTCCACACCGCTGTCTGTATTGGCTGCGCTGCCTGCTGGGGAATGATCACTGCTGCAGGAAGACTGTGCCCCAGGGCTTGGCTGCGGCTTCTGTGAGGGAAGATGATGGATGAAGGTGGCATTCTTCCCTTTCCCCACTTCCTCACAGCTCCTTCCATTTAGTGAGTGGGTAAAGTCATGTGTTAGAGACTGCTGGACAGGGGGCAGGTATATCAACAAATATATAGAGGACCCAGCAGGCGAGAGGTTGGGGCAAACCCCAAGGGACATTTGAGAAGAAGAGCCTAGGCTGGGTTACAGATTTTTGGGGCTCCAATTCTTGCCCTTAGTTTCTCTAGGCCTATTTCCTCTTCTTTTTCTCATTCTGAGGATTGAGGTCCAAAGCCAGTCTGTGCAGAAAAGTCCATGAGAGTCTTATCTCCAATTAACTACCAGAGAATCCAAAGCAGAGCTGTGGCTCAAGTGGTAGAGTATCAGCTTTGAGCAAAAAAGCTAAAGGATAGCACCCAGGACCTAGTACCAGTACACACACACACACACACACACACACACACACACACACACACACACACACTATAAAATAACTAAATAAAGAATTCATTTCTTATGGAGTTGAGGCATATATGAAATTATGCATGCCAAAAGCTTGGAATAATATACTAAGGACTATTTAGGAGTAAGTTTGTTGACCCAATTAAATAATTGGGAATGTGGATTAGTGGTAGAATGCTGGCCTACCATCCATGAAGCCCTGGATTTGATTCCTCAGTACCACATAAACAGAAAAAGTCAGAAGTGGTGCTGTGGCTTAAGTGGTAGAGTGCTAGCCTTAAGCAAAAGAAGCTCTGGGACAGTGCCCACGCCCTGAGTTCAAACCCCAGGACAAAAAAAGTTTTTAAAAAAGTGACAACCTTAATTTTTTTTCTTTTTCTTCTTTTTTTCCTTTTCTTTTTTTCCTTCCTTCCTTCCTTCCTTCCTTCCTTCCTTCCTTCCTTCCTTCCTTTCTTTTTCTCTTTCTTTCTTCCTTTCTGCCAGTCCTGGGATTGACTTCAGGGCCTAGACACTGTCCCTGAGTTTCTTTTTGCTCAAGGCAAGCAAGCACTCTACCACTGAACCATATTGACAGCCCACAACTTTAAATTTTCTAGGTTTAGATTGGCCAAGGAGCAACACTGGGAAGACAGACAGGTGGAGTAGCCACAGCAGAATGATATACATGAGAGGGGGCAGCTTTGAAGGGACTAGAAAGAAATCAGCAGGGCAGGCTGGGGTGTGGAGGCAGGGTGGCCCAGGCTGACTTACCATGGCACCTTCAGGCACGGTCAGTCTGTTCTCTCCCCCAATGGGGCCTCCTTCTCGCTCCCTCTTGGGCTCTGCTGTGGAGAGAGTGGGTGCCCGGGGTAAGGGGCCATCCCCTCGATGCCGCTTCGTCACATGAGCATCAGGACCATGCACCGTCTTGACGTGTTTGCGGAGTGAGCTGGGATCAGTGTAGCGTTTGGTGCAGCCAGGGAGTTTGCACACATATGGCTTCTGTCAAGTAGAAAGTAAAGACAGGCCAAGGGATCAAAGTGGAAGAACACAGAAAAATGGGGAAACATGGTGGCCAAGTGGTAAAGGAAGGACTTCCTTCCTTCCTTCCTTCCTTGTTTCTTTCTTTTTTTGGTTCTGGGACTTGAACTCTAGGCCTGGGCATAGTCCCTGAACACCTCTGGCTCAAGGCTAACATTCTACCACTTAAGCCACAGTGCCACTTCTGGCCTTTTGTGAGTAGTTTATTGGAGATGAGAGTATCATGAATTTTCTTGCCCAGGCTGGCTTTGAAATGTGATCCTCAGATCTCAGCTAAGATTACAGGCACGATTACAGTGCCTGGCAAAAGTTTTGATTTTGAAAGGCCTTCTCAGGCACTGGTGGCTCATGCCGATAATCCTAGTTACCCAAGAGGCTAAAATCTAAGGATTATGGTTTGAAGCCAGCCCTGACAGAAAAGTCCAGGAGGTTCTTACCTCCAATTCACCACTAAAAAGCTGGAAGTGGAGGTATGGCTCAAGTGATAAAGCACTAGCCTTGAGCAAAAAGGTCAAAGCAGAGCGCAAGGTCCTGAGTTCAAGCCCTAGTACCAGCACAAAAAATAAGTTAGTTAAAAAAAAAAAACTGGGAGAGAATGAGGTAAGAAATGACATTGTCCAAAAAGAAATGTACTCTTTACCTATATGTATCTATAACCGCTCTCTACATTACCTTTTTAAAAAGTTTATTTATTTATTTATTTATTTTAATTTAAAGAAGAGAAGGCCTTTTCTAGGTGAACTGCATGGCAATTGCTAGCTAGGGGATTTCCTGGGGAAGCGGGAGAGATGTTCCCAGTAGGTGGCGTCTGAGGTAGGTAGGGTCTCTCAATTGGGGCATTCACCTCATTGGAGTGGGTCCGGTTCTGGTGCTTGGCACGGTCACTGGCATTGCTGAAGGCTTTGCTGCAGCCTTCGTGCTCACACATGTATGGCTTCTCACCAGTGTGTGATCGCAGGTGCGTCTTCAGGTTTTCCAGGCGTGAGTATGACTTCCGACACCCCTCAAACTGGAGACATGGAGAGACCAAATGACAGCTCTCAGACAGAAGAATATGAAGAGGAGAAAAGTTCTAAATCCCAAAAGTGATGCAGTATGCAGAACACAAAAGGAGAGATCACTGACTGACCCTTAGCATTGTCAAAATGACGAGACAAGGGCAGATGAGAGCTAGTGAAAGAGAGCTTCCAGAGGAACTGCCTTTGGGACATGGTGCTGAGGCACAAAACCACTCTCGATGTGTGGGAGTTGAGATGGTCCTAGAATGGAGTCTTCTGAGGCTTTTCTGAGTACCTTTGGCTTTTTTTTTTTTTTTTTTTCTAGTCATGGAGCTTGAACATACAGCCTGTTTGCTGTCCCTAAGCTTTTTTTGCTCAAGGTTAGTGCTCTACCACTTTGAGCCATGGTTCTACTTCTGGATTTTGGGTGGTTAATTGTATATAACTGCAATCCTTAGATCTCAGCATCCTAAGTAGCTAGGATTACAGGTGTGAGCCACCAGAGCCCAGCTATCTTTGGTTCTTGTTGTGTCTACTGCCACTAGGCAGCAGAGGAGGCACAGTACTTAGGGGCCTGTCCCTGAGCTCCTTTTACTCAAAGCCAGTGCTCCACCACTTGAGCCACAGTGCCATTTCTGGCTTTTTCTTAGTAGTTTATTGGATATAAATGTCTCAGGATAGACGGGCACCAGTGGCTCACACCTGTAATCCTAGCTATTCAGGAGGCTGAGATCTGAGGATCGTAGTTCAAAGCCAGCCCAGGCAGGAAAATCCATGAGAATCTATATCTCCAATTAACCACCAGAAAACGAGAAGTGGTGCTGTGCCTGAAGTGGTAGAGCGCTAGGCTTGAGCTGAAGAGCTCAGGGACAGCACCCAGTCCCAGAGTTGAAGCCCCATGACAAAAAAAAAAAAAAAAAGTCTCAGGATAGCCGGTGCCAGTGGCTCACACCTGTAATCCTAGATACTTAGAAGGCTGAGATCTGAAGATCATGGTTTGAAGCCAGCCCAGGCTAGGAGGCTGAGATCTGAAGATCATGGTTTGAAGCCAGCCCAGGCAGCAAAGTCCATGAGGCTCTCATCTTCAATAAACTACTCAGAAAAAAAAAAAAAACAAAAAACAGAAGTGGTTCTGTGGCTCAAGTGGTAGAGTGCTAGCCCCAGGACCAGAAAAAAAAAAGTCTCATGGACTTTCCTACCCAGGCTGGGTTCAAACTACCATCCTTAGATCTCAGCCTCCTGAGTAGCTAGGATTACAGGCATGAGCCACTGATGCCCGGCTGCTTGCATTTTAACACCCACAGACATGTTTTCATTTCATTGGATGTGTGTGTGTGTGTGTGCTTAAAAACAACCTGACTTTAAAAAAAAAAAGAAGGGGGCTTGGAAGGTGGCTCAGTGGTAGAGCGCTTGCCTTGCATGCATGAGGCCCTGGCTTCGATTCCTCAGCACCACAGAAGCAAAAAGAAAAAAGCCGGAGGTGGCACTGTGGCTCAAGTGGTAGAGCGCTAGCCTTGAGCTGAAGAGCTGAGGGACAGCGTCCAGGCCCAGAGTTCAAGCCCCATGACCGGACCAAAAAAACTTAAAAAAGGAGGGGTTCAATTTGACAAGTGAGATTAAGAGTACAATGCATTTGATTAATGTCACTTTCATTTCTGTTAAAATCAAAGGGAGAGCTGCAGGTGTAGCTCAAGTGGTACAAAACTTGCCTAGCAAGGGCTAGGCCTTGGGCTCGATCTCCAGTCTCTCTCTCTCTCTCTCTCTCTCTCTCTCTCTCTCTCTCTCTCTGTCTCACACACACACACACACACACACACACACAAATAGAAGATAGAAGGGATGAGACTGATTAGAATACAGGGTAAACATGTGGAAATGTATCAAGTCCCCTCTCCCTGTATAATGTACTTAATAAAAAGTAAATTTAACTAGCTAATAAGAGAAAAAAGAAAAATTAAGTAAGATTAAGGGGGGAAATGAGGTTTCTGTACAAGAATTTGGACCTTTTAGGTCTCACCATTTTTTCCGCCTCAGCCTCCTGAGTTTTGTGATTACAGAGTTTTGTGCTTGCCACCATACCAAGGGAAAAATATAGATGTTTATTTTTATACCAACAGTTATAAATAATTTTTTTTTTTTTGGGTCCGGTCGTGGGGCCTGAACTCTGGGCCTGGGCGCTGTCCCTCAGCTCTTCAGCTCAAGGCTAGTACTCTACCACTTAAGCCACAGCACCACTTCTGGCTTTTCTCTTTTTGCTTATGTGGTGCTGAGGAATTGAACCCAGGGCCTCAGGCATGCAAGGCATGCGCTCTACCACTGAGCCACCTTCCCAGCCCCATAAAATTTATTTTTGTGGTTATATGTGAATGTTAGTTGTGTGGCTTGAACTCAGGACCTGTGTGTTCTCTCGGCTTTTTCACTCAAGGCTGGTACTCTATTCCTTGAGCCACAGCTCCATTTCTGTTTTTTTGCTGGTTAACTAGAAATAGTCTCTTGGACATCTCTGCCCGGGCTAGCTTTCAACTGCCATCCTCAGCCCCCTGAGTAGCTAGGATTACAGACGTGAACTACTAGCAACTGGCTAAATGAGACTTTTAACATCTGTTTATAGAGGAAGAGACCTACAAGGGTCAATGTCTGCCTTGATGGGAAGCCAATTTAGGGAGGAACCCTGGGCTTGGAGGTACGTGGCTCACCGTGCACTTGTGTGGCTTTTCTCCTGTGTGTCTGCGCATGTGCACCACCAGCATGTACTGGGCTTTGAATGGTCTCAGCTCCCTGGAGCAGCCCCCCCAATGGCACACAAACTCCTTTCGCTCCCCATGGATGTGCTCGCTGTTGATGTGCTGAGGGAGAAGATTCAGAGGCTCTCCAAGGTCTCCATGCTTCCCACCCCAGCCCCCCGCCCAAATAGATATCCCACAAACTCCTTGTCCTCCTCAGGTTCACCTCATGAGAGAAGAGACAGGAAGGCGGCATATTCTATATCTCAGATCTTCCAGCTCTTTGAAGCAAAGCTACAGCTTCTTAGCTTTTGCCTACCCAACTGAGCATACAAGCTCTGATCTCAGAATCCAGGGAAAGGCTACCCATTTGCCTTCAGCCAAACCCACAGTATCCCACTTAAGGCTCCTGTAGGCTCCCACCAAACAATCCTGTTACCCCCTGGGGCTCACGTGCACCAGCTGCTCCTGGGAGTCGAATTCCTGGCTGCAGCCATCCCAGCGGCAGTCAGTCTCATACACAGACTCAGGCTCAGGTTTCTCTTCTCTCTCCAGGTCCTCTCGCCCATCCAGCAACCCCAACAGGTGATCCTAGGGCAGAAGAGGCAATCTTAGGATCACTTGAGGGGCAGCTTTTGTTTTGCTCAGGTCTCAGAGGTAAAGCCTCCCCACTTACCTGTGTACCTGTGGAGTTGGGGCTGGACATATCACCTTCCAAGGGTTCCTCCGGGCACTTGTTAACCAGCATGTCCAGCTCTGACTTCAGCTTCCCCAGAGGAAGAGGGGAGGGTGAGGAGAGTGGAAGGCGGAAGAAAGAGAAAACCAGGTCTTTCTGTTCAAAGACCCCCACCCAAGCAGCAGGAACCCTGAAGTGTGGAAGGCATCTCCTTCCTCAGACTCCACTGCTGAGTAGTAAGGGCAAAGGATGGGACCTCACCTGGAAGAGTGTCAGCCCTGGGGAGTGAACCCCCAGCATCTGAAAACTTTTGTTCCTTCCATTCTTTCTTCTCCTTTCCTCTGTAAAGTCCATCACCTACCCACCCTGAGCAGGGGAAAATCAGGCAGTAATATGGAGCCTCACCTGGCAAGTTGGGAGGGGCCCCCTGGTCTGAGGGTGCGGCATCATCCCACTCCGGGTAGAGTCATGAGGACCACAGGGCTGGACCCCAAAGGAAGGTGAGGTCCCCTTTTGGTGATTCACTTGAGTTGGAAATCCCAGAGATGGGCTGAAGACAAGAGAAGGCTGTTACTTTCTGAACAACCATCAGGAAGTTGCAGGGGTTCTTGGGAGTATTCAGAGGCTCCATGGAAGAGTTGGTGAAGGCCCAATTGAGCTAGCCACAGGGAAATTCTAAAAAGGGTTTCAATACGTTGGAATTGATTCAAATGAGGCTGGGAGTTTGGAGTTTGTTATCCTAGCTAGTTAGTAGGCTGAGATCTGAGAATGGCAGTTCAAAGGCTTGCCAGCCAGGAAAGTCTATAAGACTCTTAATCTCTAATTAACCAGAAAAAAAACTCACAGATGTAGAGCTGTGGTTCAAGTGGCAGAGCACCAGCCTTGAGTGAAAATGCTAAGGGGCAGTGCCCAGTCACAGAGTTCAAGCCCCAAACAGCAAACAAAAAAATAATAATAAATGGATTTCAGTATGGATTTCAGGACCTTTGAGCCAGCCCAGGACTGCTCGCACCTCATAGTGCCAATGGAGAGATGGCCATAGGAGCCTCCTGGAGATGTGCAGCGTGAGTTGATAAAGGCCACAAGGGAGCTGGGTGAGGTGCGGATAACTGTCTGGAGGTCCAAGCTGGCATCCGACAGGGGTGAGATGGAGAGTGCTCGCTTCTTGGTCAACTTGACAGCATTCCGGGGGGGAGGAAAGAGTGGTCCTGGGGCAGGAGACAGAGGAGACGCATATGGTAAGAGGATCTAGCTCTACATATGCAATCTGTGGATCCATACTCTCCACAAGAAATGACCTTTGACTCTGCTTTGCCCTAATGATCTCATCTGTGACCTCTTGGGTTCTCTGATCCCTCCTCTGTCTGAACATTTCATCCTCCAAGTCAGATTTTGGCCTTCTTCCTTTTTCCTTCAGGACAATTCCCAAAATAAGCAGAGAAGAAACAGATGTTGCCTGAGTCCTTACCCTCGATGCAGTTATTGGTCTCTCTGGCAGGTCCATAACTGTGAGGGCCTGGCATAAGATTGGCTTGGTGGCAGAAGGGCAGACCAGACGGTCCTGGAAAAGAGAAAATGGAGGATGTGGATGGACGATACATGGGCCTCGCCTACATGACTGGAGCCCTCAAATCCTCCTGTAGATAGAAAACCAGCATAAGGATAGAGGTGGGGCTAAGAGTGATCCTGGATCTGATACATCCATTGTGTCCAGGGATTGATAAGTGTACTAACCTTCTGTTCCCATACTGGGGACCCCTTGGCTGGGAAGAGGTCGGAGACAGCATGGCTCGCCATAGCTACTGACTGGTGGTGGAGTCATCGAGTTGAACATGGTGTTTTAGATGGAAGTGGGGACACTGCAGAAGGGGAAGGTAGATCTGCAGGTTATAAAGATGGAGGAAAATAGTAAAGATTAGATGATAATCTCAGGTACAAAAACCTGGCCAGCAGCCCCTCTAAAATCTTGGCCATGGAAATGGAGTTGAAAAGATCAACACTCAGCCAGAAAGGTCTAAGGTGAAATATCTCAAAGAGGCAAATACATTCTTTCAGTCTTGGGAGTTGTCTAAAGAAATTGGATAGGAACTTAACTTGGATCATTGTGTATGTGGGGGGGATGTGTGTGTAGGGATGGACTAATTGAGCCAACTTGTGTTCTAAGTGATTTTAATAGATAGGCCATCTACTTTTTTTTGGGGGGGGGGGGGAGAAGAGGGCTGGACCTAAGGCTTGAACTCTGGGCCTGGGCACTGTCCTTGAGCTCTTTTTCCTCAAGGCTAGTGCTCTACCACTTGAGCCACAGTGCTACTTCCAGCTTTTTCGGTGATTAATTGGAGATAAGAGTCTCACAGACTTTCCTGCCTGGGCTGGCTTCTAACCATATCCTGGGGTCTCAGCCTCCCGAGGAGCTGGGATTACAGGAGTGAGCCACCGGCGCCCCTCTACTACTTCTTGTTTGGAGCATGGACAAGCTTTGAGGTGTGAGGGGGAAAGCGAGTGGAAAACCTGCTTTTTTGCAGGCAATGGGCCTGTAGCTCTTCCTTCACTTATTCCTGCTGAGACAGAGCATCTGCAATATCTCCTGTGTCCAGCAGAGAGCATAATCGCTTCAATTCAGACAGATTGGTGAAGGCAAGAGGTAGCACTAACCTCAGCCCCTCCGGGGCAGAAAACTGTGGGCACAAGAGAGTAAGGGAGCTTCTCTGGTCAGTTGGGTACAAAGGGTGGAAGCTGATGTCGTTCTGAAGTGGTTTGGACCTGGGCCCACTTCATCTTTTTGGCTTCTGCGTTTTGTTTTTGGCGGGTGGTGGTCGTGGTGGTGGTGGGAGGGACTGGAAGGGGACTGTGCGGGAAGGCTTCAGCGCAATGAACAAGAAAACAACCTTCATTTATCAGAAAGTGGCAGTGAGGCAGGAAAGGGTGGCTGAGGTCCGCTTTTCTCCTCACACTCCAGTTTCTGCTCCACCTCAGGTTTTCCAGTCTCCCGGGAGCGGAGGGTGGGGTGGGGCGGGGTGGGGTGGAGACGGACCGGGAGCGGGCCGGCCGGCGTGGTGGGTGATCCCGGGATGCTGGGATTTAGGGTGAGGGCGGGGTAAAATGGGGAGCGGAACCCAGACCCTACGACCCAGCTCGAGCCCCGCAGCTTAGGCTGTGCCCTTCCTAACTCCTCCTTTTCCAGCCGAGATCCGGGTCCCGCATCCAAGACCTCCCAACTCGACCTTGGCACTAAGTTGAGGGCGGGGGGGGGGGGGGCACAGCTGGCTGGCAGCTGGATGCGGGGGGGGGGCATTTCTCCCGCCTCCTTCCTCTGTGTGACTCACCCAGAGAAGGAGCCGACTCTCAAACGACCCCCAAACGCCAGAGGCTCCCCCAAACGTGCCACTTGGTTATCTTCTTGTCCTCCTGCCTTGGCGGCCCGGAGGAACCTCCGCGGAGAGGGGGGGACACAGCGCTCCCCGCCCGCGCGTGCTGCGAGCCCACCCACGTCTGCCCCACCGGACTCGTAAAATGTCGCTAACGTTTCCAGCTTCCGTGAAGTTTTTTGTTACCGGTGAGAGGAATGGACCATGGACCCCCCCACCCCCACCCCCACCCCGCAGGGTCCCTCCGGTTGGGAACTGGAGTCATCTTCAGTGTCTCCCTGTTTTTCAAAGTCCTCCACGTACCCCCCGCTCCCCAACTCCCAGGAGCCGGCCCCGCCCCCTCCTCCCGGTCCCGCCTTCCCCGCCCCCGTGCCTCCGCGGCCCACCCAAGTCGCCGCCGCAGGCTCTGGCTGCAGACTGCTCCGCTTCCCCCGCCCGCCCGGGGAGCCCAGTCGAGCGAGCCCTAGTGGGGCGCGCGGGGGGGGGGGGGCGAGGGGCGGGACATTCTTCCCTCCGCTCCGCGCATCCTGAAAGCAGGCAGTGGCGTTCGGGGGCCGCGGTGCGGGGGAGACTATTGGAGAGTGAGGGGTCCCCACGGTGGGAGTGGGGAAAGAATGCGAAACCACGGGGAGAGACAGTGCCTGAGACCTGGGAGGAGGACCCCGGCTTCTCCCGAGTATCTAGCCGGCTTCCTAAGGGTTAATCCCTACAGACCCCCGGGAACCCCCAGTGACGTCAAGGGCGGGGTCTGAAACGCCAGGCGGGGATGCCGCGGAGATAATGGGGGGGGGGTGGTCTCTGGACCCCGCCCCCTGGGGAAACCACCCCGATTTCGGCACTACTCCCCCAGGAAACCGCCCATCCTTCTCTCCCTACTGGAAAGGCCTACCCCACGGAGACCCCCACTTCTCCAGTCAATCTCCAAGGGGTCCCCTTTCCCTAATCCTGCCCCCAAAGCTAGCTTCCCCAGGCTGATTGTTTCGGGGTCATGGGGCCTGAAAAAAGCTTCCGAGCGGGGAGCAAGGGCAGGCAGGGTGGTCTGAGCCAGAGGAGGGGCCTAGCGAGGTCCCCAGCTCCCGTTTGGGCGGGGGGCCAACGGGGGGGGGATACACAGGCTGGCAGTCGCTAGTGGTCCCGCCCAGTCCCAGTAGGGGTCTCCTGGTGCGGCTGGCTCCAGCTGCTCTGGTGGTCCTGAGGTCAGAGGGTCAAGACAGGGTCTCCCCAGCTCCCCCTTAGGGCCTTGCCGGCAGCTCTGGGGACTCACTCACTCGTCTAAAACTCCTTGGGGTTCTTCTAAGGCCTAGCCTAGACCTTGGACAAATCCTCCAGCCCCCTTCCCAGTCCCCAAGGTAGTCATTCCCCCCCTCAACAGCGCGCATCGACGGCCGCATCAGTCACGAGACAGGTCAGGGGTCCGAGCCCAGGTGGCCCCCAGCGGGTGCTGCCTCCCCCTCCCCGCTGTCCCCAGGGCACCTAAAGGTCCCTCCTTCGCGGTGGGTCCCCTCGCGCGGAAACACTGACGTCTTCCTGCCGCACTCAGAGACGCACCTGGAGTTCCCTCTTTACCACGCAGACCCTCAGCCGGCCATCCCAACAGCCTCTTCATCCCAACCTCCAGAAAGGGAGATGTTTCTAAGACGTGGGACAGGCGGAGACAGACAAAGAGACCCACGGTTACCTAAGACAGACACACAGACTGTCAGAAGAAAACGAGGAGCAACGGAGAAACGAAGACACACAGGAAAGAGAGAGAGAGAGAAAAAAAGTCCAAACTTTCCAAAACCTCACCCCGATCCCTCCCACCCCCCTTGCGTCCCTGCGCCCCGGGGTCTCCCTCTAGGCGAGGGAGAGTCCCCGAGGGCAGCCGAGCATCCCTGGGCCCCCTCCCCCACCGCTCTCAGGTGGTCCCCCGCCCGCCCCCCCTTCTCACCTCCGTCTGGGCGCAGGGCTCGGGATGCGCGGTCCAGGGCTGGAGCCTGGGCTGGGGGCTGTGCGGTGGGGAGGGGGGGGCGACAGGGCCACCGCAGCGCAGCCTGCGTGCCACCCCACCCCCAGCCTGGCCCCCAGCCCTCCGCGGGCCCGGCCGCCGGGCCGCAAGCCGGGACCACCCGCGAGAAGAAGCGCAAACTTTTTTTTTTTTTTTCCTTTTGCAAAAACTTTTTTTTTCTCGCTGCAGCTGCTGGCGCGCGGCCGCGCTCGCCGCTCGCCCCTCTCCTCCCTCCTCTCCCTCCCTCCTGACGTTCTGGAAGGTGAGGTGGGGTGGCTGGAAGCTAGAGAGGGGGTGCTGAGCTTATGGCACCCCCAAGACCCCCAGGATCCTCCCCCTCCCTGGAGGGACCCTACACTGCCTCCCTCCTTCCCCCCCCCCCCCCCCGAACACGCTGCTGCCGGTGGGCATAAAATCCCGGCATGGATCCCTGGATCGACCGTCCACGGGGCGGCCCTCCAACCAGTCAGCAAAAACATCGAGGAAAAGTCCTGCAGGCGGGAGAGGAAGGAAGAAAGCTTCACCGAAGAAAGTTAACATTGAAGAGAAGAGATCATTTGCTTGGGTGTTAACCGAGCGTTCTATCGCCCTGCGGCTATCTGCCAGCCTCATTCTTGGGATGGAACTTGAGAAGTAGGGGACTTTTTTAGGGTTTGGGACCCACCGAGCTGAAGGGTAGGAGTGTGTGGCCCAAGGCCAGGGCTCTGACTCTCTGGAAGAGAAGAGAGGTGGTCAAAGCTCTGAGTCCAGGGTGTGTGCTCGCAGGGTCACTAAGGTGCTTTGGGTGTAAAGCACCTTTCTGGGAAACCTGGCTCTCCATCTCCCGAGTTCTGGAGACTGCAGCCACCGCCGCACCTCGCAGCAGCCCGCTTTCTGCTCTTTTAGACTTCCTGCTCCCTCTGCTGGTCATCTCGGTACATGACACCCGCTTGGAGTCTGATAGGAAGCCCAAGAGATGCGGACCCAACACACCGGAAAAAGCATCAACAGATTCCCCACTTCACCCATTCTGGCCCAAAGCCAAAAAGTCGTTATTAGGAGCTCTGGGAGGCCCCTCCTCTTCTGAGCCCAAAGAAACCAAGGGGCACACAGGTTGAGGCTGCTAGTGCCCCGCGTAGTGCCTGACAAGAGGAGTGCCCGGTCTCTGGATTTTTTGCGTTGCCATGACAACCGGATGCAGGGGCGAGGGTATTTCAATCTCTGACCTTTCTAAGAAAGAGAAAGCCTGGTGGGAGAAAGGAGTCTCTCTTCCTTTCTGTCACCCCTCAGATAGACCTCCCACATCCTTGCTCTGCTTCTGAGGACCACCTTCCTGGACCTGGAAGGGCAGAGGGTTAACTGTTCAATACAAGATCAAGGATTGGGGAAGAAAGTGAAGACTTTACAAATACAGGTAGTGAAGCTAAAAACTGAGGGAGAGGGCAGGAAGGGGTGACATTGTCCAAAAAGAAATGTACTTATTACATAACTGTAACCCCCTGTATGTTACCTTTATAATAATAAAACGTATGATTTTAAAAAGGTAGTAACTGGGGCTGGGGAGGTGTCTCAGTGGTAGAGCACTTGCCTTGCATGTCTGAGGCCCTGGGTTCGATTCCTCAGCACCACATAAGCAAAAAAGAAAAAAAGCTGGAAGTGGCGCTGTGGCTCAAGTGGTAGAGCGCTAGCCCTGAGCTGAAGAGCTGAGGGACAGCAACCAGGCCGAGTTCAGGCCCCACGACTGGACCCCCCCCCTCAAAAAAAAAGGTAGTAACTGTAGGGCTGGGGACAGATAAAGAGCCTGATTTGAGCCTGCCTACCTACATGACTGACACACCAGTTACATCCAGGTCAGTGACCCAGTTCAGTCAGACCAAACCAATGGCCACTGAAAAAGAAGAGATCCTACATGTGCTCCTGTACTAGCTACTTGCTCCTTCTTCCTGAGGTGCTTTTTTGTTTTTTGAACATACTATAGACTAGCATAATAGTTCACACCTATAATCCCAGCTACTCAAGAGGCAGAGATGAGTTTGAAACCAGCAAGGGAAAAACTTAGTGAGACTCCATCTCAATCATTAAGCTAGGTATAATAGTGCAGGTCTGTGATCCCAGCTACAAATACATATCCATAGATAGGAAGGTAGTTGTCTAAGACTTGAAAAAAAAAAGCCAGACCCTATTGAAAAACATAACTAAATAGAAAAAGGCTGAGTATGACTCAAGTGGAAGAATGCTTAACAAGTAGGAAGACGAGTTCAACCCCTTTCCCCAGTACTGCCTAAAAACAAAATAAAAACATAGATTGGTGATCCTTAAACTTTTTAGTTTCAAGTCCCTTCTAAAGGATTGTGTCTGGGGCTGGGAATGTGGCTTAGTAGTAGAGTGCTTGTCTCGCGTACATGAACCCCTGGGTTGGATTCCTCAGTACCATGTAAACAGAAAAAAGCCAGAAGTGGCACTGTGGCTCAAGTGGTAGAGCACTGGCCCTGAGTACAGAGAGGCTCAGGGACAGAGCCCAGGTCCTGAGTTTACGTCCCAAGACTGGCAAAAAAAAAAAAAAAAAAAAAAAAAAAAAAAATATATATATATATATATATATATATATATATATATATATTGTGTGTGTGTATGTGGTGTGTGTGTGTGTGTGTGTGTGTGTGTGTGTGTGTGTGTGTGTGTATTCCATTCTGGGACTTGAACTCAAGGTCAAGGTGCATGCCTGAGTTATTTTTACTCAAATCTAGCATCGTAACACTTGGGTCACAGCTCCACTTCCATCTTTTTGGTGGTAAATTGGAGGTAAGAGTTTCATGGACTCAGAAGTGGCGCTGTGGCTCAAGCAGTAGAGCACTCGCCTTGAGCTGAAGAGCTGAGGGACAGAGCCCAGGCCCAGAGTTCAAGCCCCACGACGACCACCACCACCACCAACAACAACAACAAAAAAGAGTTTCATGGACTATCTGCCTGGACTGGCTTCAAACTACAATCCTCAGATCTTAGTCTCCTGAGTAGATTATGGGCATGAGTCACTAGTGCCAAGCTTAAGCCCTTTAAGTTTTATTTTTATTTATTTATTTATTTTTGAGTCCAGTCGTGGGGCCTGAACTCTGGGCTTGGGCGCTATCTCTCAGCTCTTCAGCTCAAGGCTAGCGAACTACCACTTGAGCCACAGCGCCACTTCTGGCTTTTTTCTTTTTGCTTATGTGGTGCTGAAGAATCGAACCCAGGGCCTCAGGCATGCAAGGCAAGCGCTCTACCACTGAGCCACTTTCCCAGTTTTAAGAAAAGTTATTGATTTATTTTTGTGTGGCTTGTATTAAAAATTAAAACACACAAACAATAATAACATAAAAATGCACAAGCCAGGTTTCAGTAGCTCCTGCCTATAATCCTAACAACTCAGGAGGCTGAGATCTGGGGATTTTGGTTTGAAGCCAGTCCAGGCAGGAAAGTCTGTGAAACTCTTATCTCCAATTAAAGGCCAAAATGGAGTTGTGGCTCAAATGACAGAGTGCTAGCCTTGAACAAAAATACTCAGAATACACACACACACACACACACACACACACACGCACACACACACACAGAATGAGCTAAAGTCAGGTCAAGTGTAATGGTAACACTTATAATTCCAATACTACGTAGGTTAAGGCCAGTCTGAGCTATAATATTATGAGGTCCTAGCTCTGAAAGAAAAACAACAAAACCTCCTTGTAAGTTAACATTCCAATGAACAATGATGTCAGAAAGATGATGTAATCACATGTCACACTCTGGAAAACACTACAATTTTGATGTAAAATATTTTGATGTACAATTTAGAGCATAAATATTACAATGGAATACAGTATGTGTGGAATAATAATACTTATGGGAGGGGATGGGAAGGTGGCTCAGTGGTAGAGTGCTTGCCTTGCATGCATGAGTCCCTGGGTTCGAATCCTCAGCACCACATAAGCAGAAAAAAACGAAAGTGATGCTGTGGCTCAAGTGGTAGAGTGCTAGCCTTGAGCTGAAGAGCTGAGGGACAGCGCCCAGGCCCAGAGTTCAGGCCTCATGACCAGAAAAAAAAATACTTATGGGAACTCCTGGAAGGGCCTCAGGGACCTCTCAGAGGTCCCCAGACCACACTTTGAGAACCACTTCTGTAGATCATTGTCTCAACCTTTCATGACTCACATTTATCAATTTTCTTTCTTGTTTTTATTAGGAAGGAATAAGTATATGTCTTCCCAGTGGGTCCTGTCCCCCAGGGAAATCCAGAGAGCTTTACCTCAGCATCCCTTTTTTCCTGTCTCCCTTTACTGAGGCCTCCAAAACTCCCTCCCTTAGCATCTCACCCATCTCCCTCTCGCCCCTCCCCCAAAGCACTCAGAAGTCCCCGCCCTTGGCCAGCCTGTGTGTCTTGTCCCAAACCTGCTGGTCCCTCTGCTTCCTTTTTCCTTCTCCTGAAGGGCTTTCTCTTCTTGGGAGAGATGCAGCAATTTTTCTCTACCTTCTCCTTCCCTCCCACCCCGGCCAGTCCCCCTATCTTCTCACAGGACTTAGGGTAGGAAATCAAGCTGTCCCCTTTAGAGGAAACCCTTTCCCCAGCTTCCCACACACCAACTAGCCAGCCTGAAAT